GGAAGTGAAAAGGGGGAAGATGGGATGCTGGGTGGTAGAACCTTTTCCAATTTTCTGTGGACATTGCATTCAGTGGCAGAAAGTGGAAGGGGCTACTTCCTTTGCAAATTGGGGATGACTGGTTGCAGAATAATGGCTGGGAGCCAGCTGGGAGCCCTTGTCAAGGGAGCAGGGCTGGAGGGTGGGGTGGTGGCTTGAGGAGGAGTGGCAGGTTCTTTGCTGGAGTCTAGGAATGTTCCTCAAATAAACCTCTTAAAAGAAACCTCTCCACCTGGCTGCTGGGCCCATTTCAAACGATTCTATTGTAGCCATGGTTTCTCATTGCTGGCTACTTGTGTGTATGCAGGAGGGGTGGTATTTTGGTGTGAGATAGAAAAAAATTAAAAATAGAAAAATATCTTTTTCCTCAAATTGAGGAAAGGGGGGGGGGGCATTGTAAGACCAACTTTGAGCTAACTGAATATAAGCAAATATTGTAGAAAGCTGCTCAGGTAGCATTCTACTACTGAAGCTCTGGAATGGAAAAGACAGGGGTGGAATCCAGCAGCAAGCAGAGATCTGCCTCCTGGGCTCAGCGTCATGGTTCTTCTCTCTCCTGGGAGGGATCCCATGAAAGGAGCCATTTGCTTCTGCATTAGGACAGGAGGGAGCCCCTTTGGGGGACTCTGCCTTATCCAGCAGAAAAGCAAAAGGCAAAAACACCTTGGTGTCAGGTGAATTTGTGTTGCTCTGTAATTGAGCCGTTGTTTGTGGCTGTCTTTCTATTATATGCAGATTCCTCTTTAAGCAGCATTAGCAAAAGATGCAGAAATCCATGCAAAAAGTGAAAAGGCTCCATACCTGTCAAACCATTCCTGTATTGTGCTGATCTGTCCAAGTTATGAGTTCCTCTAAAAATGAAAGTCTGTTCCTAACTTAAAAGAATTGCTCATAGTCAGCAAGCAGCATGGTTGGGTAAGAATAGATTTTAGTGTGTGCGGGGAAGGTTTATATATCTAGCAATCATGAGAATGAACCGCTCATTTGCCTTCTTGACTTTCGCTTGCCTTCCCCTCCCCTAGTATCGTAGGGGAACAAGGGGGTAGGTGATACACAATTATGGTACAGATTGCACAGAAATTAAAAGATGGAACTGCTGCTTCTAAATTGGAATGAATTTAGCTAAGCAACCTCCAATTAAGTAATATTTTTAAAAAATATTTGCTACACGTTCTCATAATTGTATACAGATTCCTGTGCTACTTTTAGGCTCAACACTGAGACAGGTAGGAACTAGAGAAGTACCTAAGAAGTGGAGAGATGGCAGGATGGATGGAGTGAGGCCAGGGCCGGATTTATCCCATAGGCTAACTAGGCTTCAGCCTAGGGCCTCAAGATCAAGAGGGGCCTACATTCAAATTGTTAGCAAAATTAAAATTACACTTGCACTATAGGTGAAAGGGCCTCATAAGTGGAATAGCCTAGGGCCTCTTTTCATCTAAATCCGGCCCTGAGTGAAGCTGCTTGGGTGCTAGTGAAAGCGAAAGGCAATCAGAGCATAGTGGCTGTCAGGACTGGAAGCCATCTTTTGCATTGGCCTTCAGGCCTGCCACATTTCCTACTGAACCCTGATACTGGCTTTGTTCAGATGGTATTGTGGTTTTGGTTAACCAAGTTTAATGAACAGACTACAATTTTGCAATTACACAAATCATAAAACGTAGATAAACAGCCTGAATAGCTACAGCTGCACTGGGTACTCAACAAAAATCAAAGCACTTTATAAATTAATATGATATATAGAGAACCATTAACTGAGTTTACTTTGTTGCAAGTAAAGAGATTGTTTTGTTTCCAGATTGGTTACAGGCAGTTAGAAATGCCAGGAATATAAACATCCAGCATTTTATTGCCATTTAAACTTGACAGAAATTCTTCAAACCACAATAATTTGTTACATAGATTCTAGCAAGAGCTGAATGGCTGCATTTGTCTTTAGACATCTAACAGCAGCTTTTCATTCAAGTCCAAATGCTTGACAATCGCAGCCACTTTAAAGCTCAAAACTCTTGTATGAACAAACAAACTGGCATGAAAGTTTGCAAAGCTGGAAGCTTAAGCGACCTCTGTGAGGAGTGTGCTTTGGATACAGATGGCGGTGATGATTTTGCTCTGATAAGCAAGGCGAAAGGACTCCAAAGGAACTTTGGGCTTGGAAAGGAGTCACCCTGGGAACCAAGCGAAGGCCGTGCTGAGCAGAAGTTCTGAGGAGCCCCTGAGTGGTGCAGGGAATCTTTGGAAGCTGAGCTGAGCCGAGCCTGCTAACGTCCCAGCAAAAGGAAAGGGGAGTTGGCCACCTGACTTCAAGATACTGAAGTTATGAGGCTGTTTTTCAGATGAAGCAGAACCAAAAATCAAGAACTACAGCCTGAAAAAAGAAAAAACCTTAAGAAAAAACAATTTTACTGGACCAAAATTGAGGTAAATGTATTAAGAATTTGTACAGAATCCAGTTTCTAAGGATGAGATGAGTGCTGGCATCAGCTATCTCTTGGATGATGGAATGTTTCTGGATTTTCCTTTTCCTCACCAAGGTTCAGGACTGGCAAATTTGGGTCAGTTGGGCTGATATGATGCAAAACCCATTTTTCTTTGTTGACTCTTCTATGCACCTCGAATCCCTTTCTGGTGTCCACGATAAGTGGCCCCCAAAGTTTGGATCTCCTTTGCACAGCTGTAAAGTTTCCTTAAGGCTCAATATGCTGCCCCAAGTGGGCCCTGATCGTGCCCATTGTGGCCCTCAAGCCAACAGAGCCTGTCTTTCGTGTTTTAAGCAAAAGAGAAAGCACATCTTCATCCTTAAATGAAACCAGTGGCTGAGTCCCCTGCTAGTCTCTATTCCTATCACATCCTTAACCAATACCAACCTCGGTCCAGACTCGGACTGTGTGGCCCGTTATCTTTGCTTAGTTTATGCTTCAGAGCATGACGTGAGCCCAGATAACCAGTTAATTCAATAAAGCATTAATTCCTGTGTGAACACAGCTCTTCCTTTTTATCCCGTGGCCCTCCGCCAGAGTGGCATTCCCACTCTTGGCAGAATTTTGTTTTTGATCTTTCAAAACAAAATATTGAAGCCAACATGTCAAGATAATGACAACTAAAGATATAGCTGTATGTGACTACAGAGCTAACGGGGTTAGGCAATCTTTTAAGGAAGGCTTCAGTTTCTGTCCCACACAATCCTGTCCCTCGCCTAGGTAAGGATACTCTAAAATCCAGGGTGCCGCTCATGGGGAGGTGCGATCAGATGCCCCGCCCACCGTCTGGGGCGGTGCTGCTCCGGGCGTTCGGCGCGAAGGGAAACCGGAGGCAGCAAGGGGGGGGGGAGGTCCCGCCAAGTGCGCTTCCGGGTAGAGCCGCACGGCGTGTTCCACGTGGCGGCGGGCCCCGCCCCGACGCGTCCTCTCGCTGCCGGGCAACGGCGGGCTCCCTTTTCCGATTGGCTGGTGCCGGCGGCGTCTCAAGCGGCGCCTCTGCTGTGCCCAGGCCGTTGAGCGCGGACCTCCCCGGGCGGCTCGGATTGGCCCGCTGCGGCGGGGGGCGGGGCCAGGCCCGAGGGCGCCGGGGAAGCCGACCGGGGGTTGGAGGGTTCGGCGGCGGCCGCGGCGTGACATGGAGCCCCCCCCCCCCCGTCCCTCGGCGGGCGCAGGTAGGCCTCCCGAGCTCGGCTCCCGTCTCTGCGCGTGGCGGCCCAGACTGCTCTCCTCGTGGGCCGGAGCTCCGGTGGGCGTGCGGGGCGGTTTGAGCGCTGGCGCCCCTGCCCAGCCCGGCTTTGGGGCTGCTGAGCGGCTCCGCTCTGGGTCCGCCCGCTCGGCTGTGGGGTCCGTGCTCTCCCCACACGCACACACGCGCACACGCGCACACGCGCCCTCCGCAACCTCCTGGGACGCTCCTGGCACCGCAGAAGCCCAGCCCAGCCCAGCCCTGCCTGCCTAAGCAAGCGTTGCGGCCCATCTAAAGCCCGGCTGGCAGCTCTTTTCCCTTCGCCCCTCCGGTGGTTCCCCTCCAGGTAATAGGAGATAACAGAGACGCGCCAATAGTTCTGAGACACTGAAGCTGCTCCCAGGGTCCCAGAGCGAACTCCTCTCCTCTGCTCTGCTCTGCTCTGCTGGAAGGAGGGGAATTTGGCCCGTAGGCTTTTCCGGGAGCTTTTTCTCCCTGGTGCTGGCAATGGCCGTGAGCTCCGCTGGAATGAAAGAGGCTGGGGTGGGACCGGTGTGGGTCAGGGAACATTTTGACTTCCTGTCTTTATTATCATTGCTCCCAAGGAAATAGACCTGCCTCTGAGTTCTCCTGGCTTGCAACACGCCTACTCCCACCAAAATTACCCTGGATGTTTTGCAAAAAGAACTGCCTCGCTGACAATTTTGGATCCCCCGCCCCCCACCCAAGTAGCTTCAATTCACCTAAAGGTTTTTGGTCATGGCACCTGAGAAAGGTTAGGCAATCACTGAGGAATGTTGCCATTAAAAATTAATCCCAATAATAAGTCTATTTTCTTTGCCAGCCTTTTGGCTAACTGCCCTAATAACTTCCCTGGCTTTTTAGAAAACTGCTGCTTTATCATTTTATATAGGTATTTTATTACATAGTATGATACATACATACGTAGTATGCCAACTATTTTCATGTTTTTAGTGAAGATAACATTCACATTTTGTAAACAAAGATAGAAGAAATCTAGGAAAGGCTGGGATTGGAGATTGGATATCTTTTTGCCCAATTTATCAGGAATATTCCAGTCTGATTAAAAGTCAGAATCAAATTGGGCAAATCCATTGGAACAAATCTATTTCTCCCAATTCTGAAAGGGTGGAGGGGGAGCAATTGCCAGCTATGCTGGCTGCACCTGGAGGTCCAGTAAGGGGTGGGGGGAAAGGGGCTGCTCTAGAAATGCAGCACACAGAGGTGAGGTGGGCTTCTGGCCTTTCCATGCCCAGCCCAGGCCTTTAGGAGCTGAGGGGGCAGAGGCCTGGCCAGCTTAGCCTTTCCCATCTAGGCTGCAGGCATTCATGACTGGCAGGTGTGATTTCCCCCCTTCCTCTAATTGTACAGGATGGTTCTTCCCTGGTTCCTGTCTCACTGGCTCCCCTCGCCATCACCCTGTGCTTTGGAGGTTCTTCTGAGGGTTGTCATGAATCAATGGGCCTGGCTTCCCTTTCTGCTTCGGCCACTGCAAAGGGTGCAAGAGCCTCTCCCTTTGCTTTGGCCATCTGCTTTTATTTCCTTTCCTGCATTATGGGAGTCGTGGAGTGGCAGTTGGGGCTTTTGCTGCATGTGAGAGGGTCTCCCCCTCCCCATAATGCAGGAGGGTGCTTCAGCTGGGTGTCTCCCCATTTATTCCTTTTCATTTGGTGTGAGGCCACAGGATTCCCACTGCACAGTGAGTGAGTCAGAGAGCAGCAACTGCACTTTCCTTTAAGCTTCTCTGAATGCTCTCTGTGCTTGGGAAGATTTTGTCCTGTGAGGACATTTGCATCTCTGTCCCCTTTCCAAAAGGCCCACTGCTCTGTAATTAAAGAGCTGGAAGGATTCGAGGTGACTGGGCTGGAAAGGGAGCAGACCTGTTGGGGCAAGAGGAGCAGCTTTTCTCCTCCTCATTCCTGGTCGGGGCTCTCAAGTACAGGTTTGTTGAGTGTGCAACTTTGGGTCACCCTCTTCCCAGGCCTGGCTTAGCCCCCCGTGGGGGAGGGCAGGAGTCAGCTCACTGATGAGCAACCAAGGAGCAGGACGCTTGCACATCTTCCCAATGGGATGGAGCTTCTGGATCTCTGGTTGCCGAGTGTCAAGGGAGAGCTCTCCTCCATGTTTCAGGTGCCTGGGCCAGGGGTGGCCTGCCCTCACCAGTGTGGCTTCTTCCTGCTTCTGAATCTGCTGGAGAGATGGGCTCATCTTCAGGGATAGAGGGGTGGGCTCCAGGCCAGCTTCAAGTTGAGGAATTGCTCCTCCCTCCATCAGTGAAACAGCCCACTACCAGTCGATGGGCACCGGAGGAGCCTTGTGACTAGACTGGCAAACCTACAATTTGCCTCGTTAATTCTTCTGGTAAGGAATTCAGAAACGCCAGTCTACTCAGGCAGCAACTAAATAATATGCGCTTTCATAATCTGTATTTTACAGCAGTGTGTTGCTAGGGCAACAGAAGCACTAGGACTGCCCCTTGCTGATCTCAAAAGCAGAACGGATAAGGAGGCTCTGCTTTTCTTTTTCTCACCTCCTCCCCCTGGGGAACGGTGGCTCCTTCTTTTCATACACTGGCTTGGAATCCTTGAGAAAGGTTTCTACTTGGATTTCTTATAGGACAGCCACATGGGAAGGACCATTGGTCACTCCAGGGGCCCCTTGGATTTTCCCAGGTACAACCAGGGGATTGCATGAGGTCAGGGAGAAGCCAGGAAGTGATAGTATTAATTTGAAGTGGATGGCTGGGTGCATATTCCGTGGTTTGGGAGGGTAGAGAAGAAAAGTTGGTAGAATAATGAGGCCCTGAGCCAGACACCACACACAAAGGAAGGTTGTAATAGATACTGCTCTATTGCTGGAAAGGCAAGTTCACCTTTCATACTACATGCCCAACTTTTGGGCCATTTGATTAATTTATCTGGGAAGCTGTTGGATTTGAAAACATTAGAAATATGAGTTCCTGGAGTTACAGAGCCTCTGTACGTGTTTGATAGGAAGAGAGCTGTTTCTTTCCTCTGGCTGGTTGAACCAGAGCTGCAAAGGAAATTGCTTTGGCTTGCTTGGGAAATGCTGTGCATCTTTCCTGAAGATTTGAGACAGTTAAAATGAGAAGTTGCCCATCAATTAACAGCAATAGTCCATGTGTTTTTTCTGTAGCAGGTAAAATCCAGCGAACAGAGAGTTGGGAAATAGGATGGCAGTGAAGCACGGGAGCTTCCATGAAAACAAAGATTTAAACAAAAACTGCACAACTGCTTACAAGTAATCTTGTTTTCATCTACTACTGAATTTTGATTTTGTTGGCATGTGAAGGAGAGGAGAGAATCCCTAGGATTGAAAGTAGGGATTTTGAAAGAGCAGCTCTTGGCTGCTAGATACCATTTGGTCCACTTGCATCAGAGGAAACCTCTAGATACTTCAATTTCATTTTATTTCCTTTTCCTCCTTCCATATAATTCTTTACAGACAAAGCTGCTTCTAAACATGGAATGACCTCCCACGCCCTGGGAGGTCAGCAAACTGTTCATGGCTCTCTTGGAGTGTAAGCAGCTGCATTCAATCCAGTTTCTGTGCTAGAACTTTGGCAGGTTGAGCTGTGGACTTCAGCAATTGGAATGCGCCTGCCGTTTGCGTGGACTCCAACTCCCTCCCTTTGGGGCGGGGTGTGTGTGTTCAGCTGTTGGAAACAGCGGGGGGGGGGGTTGGCTGCAGGTCAGGGCCTCTAGAGGCCTCGGCTCCTCTCCTTTCCATGAAAGGAGCAGGAGAAGAGTCACAACAAAGACAGCATAAAGTCACCTGAAAATCTGATGGTAGCTCTTCCAGAGAAAAACCATTCTCTCACTTGGTAATGGTGGGAGATCTTGGGCATCATGGCCAAGCCATTTCACCCCAGATGCCAACATTTTATCTTGTGTGGAAAGCCGTTTCTCTGCGAAAGGGGACAGGCGAGGGGGTCCTGTGTCCACCCCAGAAGCAACTAAGGGGGTGGCTGGGCCTGCCCAGGAATGGGGAGGAACAACAGTGGGTTACAGGACTTGGGGCTCTTCGGATGCTGCTTTCAGCAGTATCCTCCAGGGTGGAAATTTCGTGGATTTTAAAACTGAGTAGCAAACGAAACAATTGGGTAGACGCAACAGTTTAATACAAGCATAAAAGGACCCAGGGAAGGCAAGGTGCTCCAAGAGCTCTGTCCAGGCAGGCCCCTCTGCTGGCCTGAAGCCATGCTGGGTGTCTGCGAGTCTTTCTGGGTCAATGTGGAGTTGTGCTTAGAGGGTCAGACTAGAGAGAGATCCAACTTAGAACTAAAACGAAATTTCCCCACAGGGACAACAATTAGTGGAATTGGTTGCCTCCATCACTGAAGGTTTTTAAGGGGCGATAGGACAGCCATTTGTCCACAAGGTTCCTTCCAACTCTCGTATTCTGTTTTTCTGCTTTCTCGAAGGCCCAGGCCAGTCCCCTCTCCACCAAGGCTGCTCTTTGATCTTTTAGTGCTTGCATGGAACCAAACCTGGGGGGCGGAGGGGGGGGAAGCAGGTGATACCATTTGATTTCCTCCCTCCCCCCACCTGACCTCCCTCAGGGAAGAGCATTTGCAAAGGCCAGCAGGGAGGCACCTGGGGCTTTGGCTTCCACTCCACTGAAAGGGAATCAGCTCCATAGGAAAGTCGGTCTGCCCCCAGGTGTCTTACGGGTTGCCAGCTCTTCCCTGCCCATTTGGGGTGAAGAAAGAGGACAGGCCCACCTTCCTGTGGTTAGACCTCTCCCCTTTCCTTTCAAAAGCTTTGTCTTTGTGCCCTCTGGAGCCCTCTGGCTTTAGCAGCTGAGGAGGCTTTCAGAAGAGCAACAGCGACCTCTGGGTAGGCCTGAAAGGAGGTCAGGAGCTGCCTTTGCTCAGCCCAGCCCAGCCCAGCCCCACTTCCCTGAAGCTCTCCAGGAAGGGGGGGCTTTGTTCCCAGCCCCTCATTTCCTTAGAAGGGGCCAGATGCAGGACGGGGGCAGTTCTGGAGGGGCCAGGAAGAAAGGTTACGGTTCCCACATGGATGTCCATGGCACCTGCTTTGCTGTGGCTTCCCACTCTTCCTCCACAAGGCGGAAGGTTCCTAAGCGCTGGCCCTGGAGTCATGTCCTGCTACCACAATGGGGCTTATCAGCCGAAGGGGAAGGGAAGCTTGTGGCATCGAGGGTGGGTTCGTTGCCTCCCTCATTGTTGGGCTGTCCCTCTGAAAGTTGCTTGCCTTGCTTAATGAGATGCAAATGAAAAGCTTTCCACTGCAGGAGGGATCGAGATGAGCAGCCCTGCTGCACTGGAGGGTAGCTCTCCTCCAGGAGCCTCTTGACAGAGCCCAGGAAAGCCAGCAGCTGGCAGAAGCCCTGAGGAGTGGACTGGAGGAAGAATGAGAGATCTGATGCTCCTCTCGCCCGCCCATCTTTGTCCGCTTGTCTTTTGTAATCCTCTAGCCACACGGCAGGCAGAACAGGCCCCCCCTCCCCCACTCTTTCCCTCCCTCCCTCCCTCCCTCTGCTTGGCAGTGCCACAGAGAGCATGCCCATGCTGGCTTTTTCTTCCATGTTTTCTTCAGATGAAACAGTGCCTGGCTTCTGTATTTGCACATTCCTACTAAGAGGAGAGCCAACTAATATTCCCCTGGCCTAATGTTATCTTGGGGGTTTCACTTCAACTGGTAGCAGTTGAATGGATCAACAGCACGAGCAACCCAAATGAATGGATGTTTTCAGAAACCTTGGCACGGATGGGACTGTGCCACCGCTCTCTGACGTGGGCACTTTCCATTTTGCTCTGGCTTTTCTTTTGGTGCAGATTTGAACAGCATTCTTCCTCCCCATACACAGACATCCTTCATGATGGATGTTGCACTGGTCTTCCCAGAGCCCCATTCATCTCCCTGGCGAGAACGTTGCCTGGAAATAAATCCGCAGCCTTGGCTCCAGGGTGGGTGGGGGTCTTTTTAAAATCTTCCCAGCGTGGATAAAAGTGGGTCAAAGGCAGCAAACCATCCGTGCAGGCAACTGCCTGCCCGTCTCCCGTGGAAACCCTCTCCCTTTTACAAATGCATCTCAGGATTAATGAACACCTGCTCCGCAAGTGGGTATGCAGGCATGCCTGTCTTGTACATACCTCCTCCGTGTGTCTTCATGCCCGTGTCCACACTGGTGCTCCTGCAATCTGAGCAACATCCTTCACCTGTTTTCTCCATAGAGCACGAGGCTGACTTTCTGGCTGGAGAAGTCTTTCCTTGTGGACATGGCGCCCTTTTTCCTGTTAGACTGTTAGCTGATCGTTGTCATCAGAGAAAGGGGCATACCTGAGACTTAACGGCATTTTTCCATTGATGTCGGCTGCCTTGGTGCAAATTTGGGTTCTTTGTCTCTTTAATGCCAGCTTGAAATGGACCTTGGTGGGCAAAGAAGCAGTGCTTTGAGGAAGGCAGCTGCTGGCATTTTGCCCACTGCAACTGGGTTGGATGCCCAGGCGCCTCAACACTGGCGGAAGAGGCAAACGGGCAGGGCTGCTCCTCCTCCCTTGCTGTTTCCAAGGTGGCAGAGATGGCAGCCTTTGTCTTCTGTTGTGCTGGCTCCACTGCACAGGATGTTGAAGAGGGTGGAGCTGATGGTGGGGGCCCTGTTGGTGCCATGGGTGGGCTCTCAGGCGGCAAGAGAAATCCGAGAGTGTCTTCCTGTGTCCAGGGCTACCTACTCTGAGTAGCTTCCCTGGGCTGCTTCATTTGGGCTGGCCTCAATGCAGGATGCAGGGCTTCTCTGCCCAGCCACTCTTGCTATCACATGCAAGTGTGGCGTTGCCACTGACTGGATGGCACTGTGCCAATGAGTTTGCCATCCCGCTACCCGCCCGCCCTCTGTGCTTCGCTCCCTCCTTTCCTTGCTCCCTCCTTCCCTTTTTTCCCCTCCTCCTCCTGCCAGCTTGACTTTAATTAACATGCAGATTAATTGATTTTTAAAGCTGAAATATTACAGATGTCTGTCTATCAACTGGTTGGCACCATCCAGTTGATGAGGAAGGACTGGGAGGACAATGCCCATGCCTTTGTGTTGCAGAAAGGAATCTCTTGTTAAAAATAACCCTGCAGCCTCTTCTGGAGAGCAAGGGCTTCTGGAGAGGCCACGAGAGGAATTTAATTTAATTTAATTTAATTTAATTAATTAAATTTATATGCTGCCCCTCTCCGAAAACTCAGGGCGGCTCACAATACATTTTAAAAAATAATTATAAAAAAGCATTGAAAAATTAAAAACATTAAAAACTCACAAGAGCGAGATCAACGTCCCCAGGCCTGCCGGAAAAGCCAGGTCACCACCGCTTTTCGGAAGGCCAGTAGGGTAGGGATTGTCCAGACCTCAGGAGGTAACTGGTTCCAGAGAGCTGGGGCAGCCACAGAGAAGGCCCTCCCCCGCGGGCCCGCCAGCCGGCATTGTTTAGCTGACGGGACCCGGAGGAGACCAACTCTGTGGGATCTTACCGGTCTCTGGGAGCTATGCAGCGGAAGGCGGTCTCGAAGATAACCTGGCCCTGAACCATGTAGGGCTTTAAAGGTAATAACCAACACCTTGAATTGTGACCAGAGACCAATAGGGAGCCAGTGCAGCTCGCGGAGAATTGGTGTAATGTGGGCCTAGGTGCACCCATGACAGCTCGCGCAGCTGCGTTCTGGACCAACTGTAGTCTCTGAACACTTTTCAAGGGTAGCCCCATGTAGAGCGCGTTGCAATAATCTAACCGTGAGGTGACAAGGGCATGAGTGACTGTGAGGAGACCCTCCCGATCCAAGGAAGGGTCCTGAGCTCCCTTTTGCTGGGCTTCTTCCAGTCTCTGCAGGGAGCGAGGCAAGGTGTAGGGGGCAGTTCCTGCCTGGGGGCCCTTGATTGGGAAGCAGAGCTGCTGGAAAGGTCTCCCCCAAATACTGACAGGATGGCAGTGCTAGGAAGAGCCAACCCTTTCAGGCTTGCTGATGTTTCCATCAAAAGGCAAGAATGGGTTTACCTTTCATGCTTCCCTTTAGTCCTTTAATTTCATTTTGTATATTTAAAAAAACCCTCGTGGCAGTGGATCAAACCTGCCGCATATGCCAGGCAAAGGTCTCCTGAGAGGTGAGTTGCTCTGCTGGGTGCTGGGGCTGCAGGTCAAAAGGGCTTTACTCTCTAGTGGCTCTTCAGGGTCCCTCTCACAGGCCAGGAGTTGGACCAGGCAGGAAGCAGAGCCTGACAGGCCCCGCTGCCAATGGCAGACCGCAACTGCCTCCCTCTGGAAGTAGCTTTCAAGGGCTGTCCCAAGCACAGCTCGGCTCCAAGTGTCTGTGGGTGTGGGATGCTTTCTGTCAGAAACCCTGCCCCCCTCCCCCCTCCATTTCCTGCTCTGCTTGGCATGAAAGACAAGGGGTCCCTGGGCCTTTGGGTTGGTAGTTCAGTGCCGAAAATAGCCATTTCCAGCCAAATAGCAAAGTGAGAAATCTCTGATTAGGCTGCTAAATAGATTAAATCTGACTACTTGCTTCTGATGGAAAGAATTAACTCACTACTCTGGGGAGGGAGTGCAGCCCATCTTGGCTGCTCTCTGGCCTTTAACCCCTTCTCCACTGGAAGAGCTGGGGGCTGGTTGGTGCCTGGAAGTCAGAGAGGGTGAGGCATAACTCTGGGGATGCATCTGCAAGCCAAAAAGCTCTTCCTAGCATTGGTTGCCTTTTGGGGACCTGTCCAGCTTCCTTTTTTTATAAAGTCTTTTGAGCACATCCTTTCACTTACAGGCAACCTGTCGTTCTCTTAGACCTCGGCTACCCTCTTATTATCTGGAGTTTCTGGCCAGCTCTGACTATCAGCTGTGTATTTATTTCTCTCTTTTTTTCCCAAAAAAGTTTTTATTTTTGTTTCTCATAAACATATTTACATGTACAGTCATTTATCCACCATTTTTCATTCATCTTATCTTTTAACTTTCATTTTTAATTGTTCGGGGCTGCTCTTTTACCCTTTACCCTTCTTTATTTTGCCACAACCTTTCTTCTTCTCTGCCCCTTCTTTTCCTTCCTCTATCTCTTTCTCCTTTCTTCTGTGTATTTATTTCTCTGTGTGCAGTTTGTGTCATTCTTGTCCATGCATTGGCTCTCTCATCCCTCAAGGCCTGTTGAAAAAAGCTCACACTGCTTTAATCAATGAGTATAGATGTACATATGTATACATCATGCTGTTCCTTTTTTGAGAAAACAGAATTATGCAAAAGACCAAACAGGAGCTGGAAGTAGCAAATGAAATGAAATGGCTCAGAGAAAATAGGTTTTTCTACCAAGGATCATCAACTGGGGTGATTCTGGTTGTGATGGATCAGGAGAGAAATGGGGGCATCAGATGAGCCACTGAAAGAGATCTGCGAGGTTTGGGATGGCCTTTCCGCCTGGGTCTTCAATGCCTTCCGTCATGCCCTTAAAACCCATCTTTTCCAGCAAGCCGGGCTGGCTTAAGAAGAAAATTTTAAATTATTTTAATCAGTTTGTGACTTCTTAACTTTCGGGCCAAATTTATATATATTTTTAATTGTTTTTAATATTTGTATTCTATGTTCTTATCTTGGCTGTACACCGCCCTGAGTCCTCAGGGAGAAGGGCGGTATATAAATTGGAAATTAAATTAAATTAAATTAAATTAAGTTTTGCTGGCGAGTTCCCTAGAGCCTTAGCCTCAAGCTGCAGAAGGCAAAAGCCCAGTCTGTTTGTAAGAGACTTGGTCATCCAGCCTGGGCCTCTGTTCCCTCCACTCCTTGGCTGAAAGCCCCATGCCCAGCACCAGGCCTTCATTAAAGGGAAATTCATCAAGTTCGGCTCTGGTTTCCAGGTTGGCTGCCAGAGTTTTAGAGGTCTTTAACAAATGAGGTGGAGAGATTCTGAAGTTTGGCATTTGATTTTATGTCTGGAGCTGGTCTCTTGCCCTGTACCTTAGGTTCTGCTCAGCCATTTGGACGTGTTTCTGCCTTGCAGGTTCTGAAGAACAAAACTTAAAGTCAAGAACTGTTACAGGCCATTCCAGATCTTCACAGTGAAATCTCCCGGAAAGACGACGTCTCTGCAAGTGAGCGAGCATGAGGGGACTTTGCTCACAGCTGCCCTCCCTCCGTAGGATCCTCTTTGGCTAAGAAGCTTTGGCTAGAGAGAGAGAGAAGCCTGGGTAGGGGAGGGAGGGAGGGAGAGCCTAGACCCAGAACCTTCTGTTGGGGACTTGAAGCTCTTTTCTCTTTAGTGCAGCTAAGTCTCCTTTCCTGGCTCACTCAGATCTGGGCCTCTTCTGACAGCCTGGCTGAGTCCATGTGGCAGGAGCAGTTATTGAAGCAAAGACTGCAGCTGACAGACTGAATGCCGTTCACAGAGCTGCACCTGAACAATTGTTTGTGCTGCCTCTGGGAATCTGTTATTGGCTTGGGTGGGACACAGATCAAACTGCAAAGCCTAAACATACGTGCGGTTTTTGCACATGACCATAACCCATAAGTCAGCCCCAGGTCAGGTTAACAAGCAGCCCTCGGGCAAGCCCAATTCCAGCCTTGTATCCCTGGCTGTGTGATTCCTCCTGCCCTCCCTTAGGATTCCCTGCAGGGCGTGGCAGTCCAATTCCATAGATTTGGAATGGACCATAGAGATCTTCTAGTCCAACCCCCCCTTCAGATAGGTGGCTGTCCAGTCTCTTCTTAAAAACCTCCACTGATGGAGCACCCACAACTTCTGGAGGGAAGCTGCTCCACTGGTTAATTGCTCTCACTGTTAGGAAGTTTCTCCTTCACTCCAGGTTGCTTCTATCCTTGATTAGTTTCCATCCATTGTTGCTTCTCTTGCCCTCTGATGCTTTGGAAAATAAGTTGACCCCCCTCTTCTTTGTGGCAGCCCCTCAAATACTGAAATGCTGCTATCATCTCAGGCGTAGTCCTTCTTTTCTCTAGATTGGCCATACCAATTCCTGCAACCATTTTTCATATGTTTTTGTGTCCAGGCCCTTAATTTTCTTAGTTGTTGCTCTTTGCACCTTTTCCAAAGTCTCAACATCTTTTTTTGTAATCTGGTGACCAAATTGGATGGCGTGTTCCAGGTGTGGCCTTACTAAGGTTTTATAAAGATGTCCAGCCACCTCTGTGTGAGAAGCTGGATGGATGAGGCCACGTGATGCACCTTAAGCTTCCAAGTGGTCCACCCAGTTTCATTTGGGCTGTAGGGTGGGTGCTTTTCCTTGGTGTTCTCCCCGCCCCCCCGCCCTTCCCCACTCAGCATATGCACCTTTGGGCTCTTGCAGTGAGTCAGCAGCATGGTGGAAGGAATAAGGAGGGTGCCAATTCAGAGGGGACAGCCATCCGGATTTATGTTTATGTTACAGTTTAGAGTCCCTGAGCAGCCTACAGCTCTGTGGGGGCACCTACCGTCTGGAATGAGCTCCCCCCAGAGATACGGAGGATCCCGGATCTGCGCACCTTCCGCCGCGCTGTGAAGACTTTTTTATTCCATCAGGCGGGCTTGGCCTAATCTCTTCCCTTTTTTAAATATGTAAATTTTAATCTGTTTTTAAATTATTGGGGTGTTTTAATCTGTCTGGGCCAAAATGATTTAATTTGATTTTATCTGGTTTTTAAATTTTTTGTATCTATGTATTTTATTGTTTGGCTGTTCACCGCCCTGAGTCCTTCGGGAGTAGGGCGGTATACAAATCAAATAAACTAAACTAAACTAAACTAAACTAAAGCGCAAACAATAACAAAGTAAAAAGTAATCTCAAGTTTGCTTTGTTGTGGAATCCGCTTCTATCAGGAAACACCTCTTGAAGTGAAGAACCTCTGAGGAATGAGATTTTCCATCCACTCATCAGCTTCTCAGTCTCCTCTGGGCCAATTCAACCCTGCTGCAAACACTCTGCTGCTTAGCCCACTGAGTGGGAGGCCCATTGCTGGCCAAAGCAGAAAGCGTGCAAAGAGCTGAGTCAGCAATCGCGAATATCTGTTTGGATGCCTTGCTTGATCCTTGGATGGCGGGGGTGGCGGCGTCTTCTCCAAAGAGGCTGCCACGTGGCTAAGGGCAGAAAAAACCTGGGCCTTCTGGTATAACCTCTTTTCTGCCTTTCCTCAGACTGAAAAACTGGTGCCCGGCGAGAAAGATTGCAAGAGAAACCTGGATATGGAGATAGAAAGTGCTCATCCGGTGGGACAGGAGCAAGTCGAACTGCATGGGAATTCAGTGGAAGGGCAAACTGTTTGGTCAGGGTTCCAAGACACCTGGCTGCAGGTAAGGCAGCTGCTCTGGGACAGTCAGCCTTTCAAATCCTCCACACTCTACTCCAAAAAACACCAGAGAAAGGCTCTTTGGTTGCCCAATCCAGGGGAAGTTCCTCCCTCCTGCGTGAGTGGAAAGCAGAGCCCATCCTTCCAGTGCAAAGGCTACCTTGCAGACCAGGCCACGGCCAGGGCCCACTGGGTGAGGCTGTTGGGCTTCTCTGCCTTGAATGGAAAGGAGTCTTCCCTTCTTTTGTGCAGCTCTAAAGGCAATTCACAAGTAACTTCGGAGGCTATGCTGGCTGTGAGAAAGCAGAGAGAAAGCATTGTTGGCAATGGTTCCTTGCCCTCATTTATTGTCCTTACCTTACTAGGAAAACAGCAGTGAGCAAGATCAGGAAAGCAGCTTTGGTAATAGGCAAGTGGATGTGGAGCTGGCTTTTCTGCCCAATTTGCTTGGCTAGGAGCACTCTTTTCCCAGACGGGGCCATTGGAGTCTCTGAAAGGAGAGGCTGCTCCGCCAGCAGGCGGGAGGGAGGGAGGGAGGGAGGGAGGGAGCAGCTCTTTGCTCCAGGGTACTCCAGAAGAAGCGTTAGCAGGAGGCCCTAGGTAGGCAGGTGCCCGCCTCCAAGAGAGGGGCATAGGTACAGAAGACAGCTGGAGTGGCTGCTGGAGATGCCTGCCTCCCCCTCTTCAGGGCAGGGCCGGGCCCTTCATAGAGCGAATCCTATTTGGGCGAGGGAGGAAGACTGCTGGCCTGGGGCCACAGCTTCTGCTCTCCAGTACATGAACTTGGGCGTTCCTTTGGAGCAGGTGCCTCCAGGCGTTCCAGAGGAGAGGCTCCGTCATTTTCTCTTTCTTCTGCTACTGTAAATCCTGGGACATATTGAGGTGCAATAATTTGTTGTTTTGATTTTGGCCCTGCCCAACTCTGACAATTCTGTTGGTCTTTCTGAGTCCCTGGCCACATTAGTTAGCTAGGTCCCCCACTACAGCATCTCCCCAGAAATGAGGTAACTAACCCCCCACCTCCAGGAGTACTTCCAGAGTGGTCCCTTCCCAGTTGCCTTGCTTGCATCTCCCTTTTTCACATCTCGGTCTCTGGCACAGCCTGACACCTTCCAGTGGAGAACCCACCTGTCCCAGCCCTCCCTCGCTCACCTTGTTTTGAGCTCTTTTCTGGCTGTGAAAGATTTTATAATGTTGACCTGTGTCATTAACAGTTTCACTGTTGACCTTTGGCTTTAGATAATTTCTGAACGTTAGAACCCTCCTATTCCAGTGTAAATCCATCAGGAGGGAGTCCCTACAGGGGAAAAACCATTCTGCATCTGCTTCTTGTTTTTTAACTGGCTGGTCAAGGAGAATGCGGCATCCGGATGGCCAGTTGTGCCAAAACTTTCTGAAAATCAGTGGGCACCCTGACCCAATGCAAGAGATCAGTTGAGAGTTTGAGAGGGAAATGCCCTTCTCTTTTGTAGCCTCGGTACTAGCAGAAAGGGAGGGGGAGGGAAGGAGTTGGGGTGGAATGAAGTAGGAAAAAGAAATGTCACTGTATAAATTGAAAGTGAACCTCAAATGTTTTTGAGGCTAATGGCTTCACCCACTCCATTTGTCTCTGGCTCCCAATAGAAAGCAACTGTCAGCCATCCATATCAGAGGCTGTCCCCCAAGAGCCTCTCCAACTGCGTGACCCTTTTTTTTTTTTTAATTTGATTTATATGCCACCCTTCTCTGGAGACTCAGGGCGGCTTACAATGCGTTAAGCAATAGCCTTCATACTTTTGTATATTTATACAAAGTCAGCTTATTGCCCCCATAAACTGGGTCCTCAATTTACCTACCTTAGAAAGGATGGAAGGCTGAGTCAACCTTGAGCCTGGTGAGATTCGAACTTACAGTAATTGCAGACAGCTGGTGTTAATCACAATGCTATCAGTCTGCTGAGCCACCAGGCCCCTTCCCTTCCAAGAGCCTCAAAGAGCAAATAATGATAACTTTTGACAGAAGAAAGGCATTTTAAGGGCTCTGAAAGAGACACTTAATGCATTTGCCTTCTGCCAGGTTATCACTGTGCCATGAGTTACTTCTAATGCCTAGTAATCAAGGTGCATTTTCAGAGCTGCCATTTGGGGATTCCTCCACTGGAGCTCACTGGGGGAGGAGGGGGGAGAAGACACAGATGCAGGCGGGGGGCTCCCCCTGCTGCCCTCCTGCAGAGCTGCAAGCCTCCAGCATGGCTAGTTGGACAGGCCCAGTGGATGAGCTGCTTGGCCCCTGCCCCAGCTCCAGTGGGAAAAGGCCCCTGACAGAGCAAAGGCAGAAAGCATGCAGAAGATCCCTAGCCCTTGCTCGTCCCTGGGAAGGCTGGGCAGGTGGCGCTTAGGAATGCTGAGATGTGCGCTGGACTTCAGATGCTGCCAAAGCTGTGGCCTCCTTTCTGGAAAAGCTTCGAATGAGAGATTTTGCCAGCTGATGTACCACCCATGATTGACAGGGACAGATCTTTCTTTGCAAAACCGAGCAAGCTACTTTTTCCCAATGGTCTCCTGCCTGAGGCAAAAGTCGATCAATGGACATCGTGTCTCGGGTCTCTTTGAAAAATAATCAGATGATGCAGATTTGGCCAGGTTTCATGGTCCCTTGATTCTGCTCAGGACCAAAGATTGGGAAGGGCTTATGGAGGCCATGCAGCCAAGTCTCGGAAGGCATCCCTGGCCAGCAGTCCTTCAGCTGCCATGCAAAGTGACCTGGTGAAGAGTGGCCTCTCGGACACGACAACTCCACAGGGCTTCTCCCTCATGCATTCTCTCCTGCTCTTCTCCCAGTTGGAAGCAGCCGAGTCCTAGGCTGCATCGACGGACAGATAGTATCAAGCTCACGTGAGGTGACTGCTTTAGGCTGCTTTGGTAAGACCATGCTTGGAATGCTACTGCCTCCAGCTTTGATTACCATGATGCAAAAAAGATGTTCAGATCAGAAAGAATGCAGAGAATAGCAACCAAGATGATTAGGGACCTGGAGGATGAACAGTTGCAGGAACTGAGTATGTCTAGTCTAGGGGAGAGAAGGACTAGAGGTGACATGATAGCATCTTCCAATATCTGAGGTGCTGTCACAGAGAAGGGGAGGGGGGTTCAACCTATTCTCCAAAGCACCTGAAGGCAAGACAAGAAACAATGGATGGAAACTTACCAAGGAGAGAAACAACCTAGAACTAAGGAGAAATGTCCTGATAGAGAGCACAATTAACCTCCAAAAGTTGTGGGTGCTCCATCACTGGAGCTTTTCAAGAAGAGATTGGACAACCATTTGTCTGGCATGCTGTAAAGTCTCCTGCTTCAGCAGGAGGTTGGACTAGAAGACCTCCAAGGTCCCTTCCAACTCAAGTTATTCTGTATTCTGTAAGGGTGCTCTATGGCATTTTTCTCCAGCCAACTTGCTGCTAGTTTTGCAGGTCTCTCCTGCCAGCGGAGTGCGAAGGTGAGGACAGTTTTCAAGGGGGGAAGAATTCTGCCCATTCCTTGATATGGAGATCCAGTTTGTCAGCGCCTCTGAGACAGAAACCTGGCTGGCTTTTGACATCCCACAATGTTCCCGTTCTGTCCTAAAATATGCTCGGCAGACAGCCCTAATCTAATCTTTCTGTCTGCTTTCTCATTTTCAGAGTCAGGGTAAAACAAATTGGCCCACATTAATTGTCTGCCCAGCCACCCAAAGCTTTGAGCTGTGATTTATGAGCTCAGAGCAAGCACTCTACAACACATTTTTCTTAATTTATTTTTAATGAGTATCTCAATTAATTTTCCAGGAAACATCTTAATGATGTTGGAGATGAATGTTAATAAGGTCTGTGCCTTTCAGGTGGCTGCAGCATTGCTGACTGGGTATTGGGTCTCAGTCCTTCAGTTCTGCAAACCCAGAGGATTAATAAGGCTCCCAGGAGCCCTGAATTAAAGATCTCTCCCACTTCCCATCAGCCCATGGATATTTGCTTTTTCATGCATGGAAGGAAAGAGGAGGTGCCCCATTGTGCATCCCAGCAAGAGGAAGACCGGAAGGGACCAGCTGACGCCCTCCTCAGGCATTTGGGGTCCTTCCTCGGCCTTCCATGGGAAGCAAGTGGCCTCCTACCAAGGCCCAGCCTCAGTTCGGATGCCTGTCATGGTTTATGTCTAGGAGGACTGACGCTTGCTTTCTCGAATGCCTTGGTTTTTCCTGGGCCAGGCAGGCCCTTGTCATCAAGTGAGGGTGAGCATCAGCAAAGCAGTCAGAGCACCAGCCAAACCTGACCAAGCTGCCCTGAATGAGCCAGGCCACAACTGTTATTCTTGACCTCACAGGCGGCATTATTCTGGAGCAGGCAGTTCAGAAGGAGGGCTACACCAAGAAGCCCTGGGCCTGAATAGCTTTCAACCATGGAGGCCATCCCCTCTTGCAAGGCCTGCTCTCAGCCAGGGGAGCAGCTTTGAAAACTGCTTTTCAGTGAAATAAAGATGAACGAGCTGGGTCTATAGATGTGTTACTTTTTCAGCTTTATGCATTTGGGTTTGTTCCATACATTTATTCAGGACTGTATTATTGTTTGGATGGACATTATGCTGGACTTTAGGAGAGGCCCTTGGTTTTCCTTGCCAGATTTACATCCGGGGGCAAACGTTCCTCCTCCCTTTCTCCAGATAGCCTCTGCAACCCTGCATGATGGGCTTGTACCTGTGAATTAAGGTGATTTTCAGCCAGTTGGGGAGAAGGTGATGCCATGGTGGTGTCAGCCGTGGACCGCCAGATGGCCCGGGGCTGCCATTCGGGCAGAGGAGGAGTGGCCAGCTGGGACGTGCACACACGGGCATCAATGGCCACACCATTTTGGGGAGAAGCCGCCACCACACGCCCATGGCCCGCAGCACATCGCTCCTGCCTCCATGGGGCTACCGCCTGTCTAGCGGGGCCCAGACTGCCTGGCTGATAGTCGGAAGCAGGAAACAGCGGGATAAGCCGGGATGGATGGCTAGGGGTGTGGCTGGACTCCGGCGGCCAAATTAGCAGCAAGCAGTCAGTAGGAGGGGTGCACACACAAGGGAGGTGGAGCACAATATAAGGGGTGGGTGAACTAACCACGGTAGCACAAACTTTAATTCCTTTTGGATGATCGCTTTGTGCGGGGTCCGCGTTTCCAGATAAACAATTCTAACATCAACCTGTGTTGCTGGCTTTTCTTACGCAGGACACCAGAACGTGACAGGTTGCACAGGGAAGAGGAACTTTGGTGGTCCCTCTCCCTCTCCCTCCAGAGGCTCCCCATCTTGATCTTGGGTGATGCTATTTCCACAGAGTCCAAGCAAGGCTGCCCTCCCAGAGCAGTTGCAGGGTTTCCAGGTGGCCGTGGAGCAGCTACAGCACATGAGGGATGGTCTAAGCTGGACGCAAGGACAGCATCAGGCCTTGGAGATGCTGCTCCAGGAGTGTCAGGCTCTCAAGACACAGGTGGGTTTCAGAACTTCCTTCTACCTCCCCCAGAAGCCAGGGCAGCACCTGATATTCTCTGCCTCTGTATACTCCACAGCTCCGACAATCTAAGGCATTGACCCAGGAGCAAGAAAGGGAGCACTCTCTTCAAATTGAGCGGCACCAGCACATGCGGGAGCAGTTGCGTCAAGCAGAGACTTCTGTCCATATTCTGGAAAGCATCTTGGATCTCTATAAGAAGAAATACCGAGCTGCTCTGGGCCGAGTTGGTGAACTAGACAGTCAGATGCATCATCTGCAAGAAGAGGTGATCAATCTTTGGAGCAGCAGCCAAGCAGAGGACAGCCTTGGGCAGCTCAGTGCTCATGCAGTTAGGCAGTTCACAGACCAGCAAGACCAGACCATCCAGGAGCTGCAGGAACAATTGGCAGCCAGCCACTGCAAGGTGAGTGTGGCCACAGCCCTTTTCCTTCCATGGGGGGAAACGCTGGTGTGAACTGCAACAGATGTCAAGCTTCAAGTCTGAGGTAAGAAAAGGGCCTAGGATTTAAATCCTGGCTTTGACACAGAAGTCTCAGTGATGCTTGTCCTGTATTCCACAAGAGCCTGATCTTCTGTGAGTTCACGGTGTCTTATTTACACCCAGCCTTGGCTGCTGAGTGTGGGGTGAGGTTTGCTGAAGGAGCCGTATTGCCTTGTCTGGTGGGAAGCTGACAGATGCAATAAGCTAGTTGTGCCTACTGAGACAGGCTCTGTCTCAGCTGCTGCAGCAAAAGGAAGCCGTGGCCAGACTGAGCCAAGAGTTTGCATCATACAAGTTGATTCACAACTGCTCAAACACAAAGCACAGAAAACAGATGGTCAGCCAGGCGATACTCCAACAGGTAGGTCTAGTACCGATAGTGCTGGCCAGCTGGAGCAAGCAGTGGGGGACCTGCCACAACATGAGCAAAAACCTGACTCCGTTTGTCTCGGTTGGACGTGCCTAGAAGCTACAGCAGGCAGAAGAGGAGGGTTTGCATCAGCAGGCGGAGGTGTACCAGGCCCTGGTGCAAGAACTGAAGATGCAGCTGGCGAGGGAGGCTGAGCAGAACAGCAGCACTTTGAAAGGTAAAGGACCCACCTATTTCTGGTCCCCTCAGCTGGTCCTTCCTGTTGCAGCTGGGGGTCCCAGCTGATTGAGCCTCATTTCAGATCTGGCTCGCCTGGAACTGGCTGTGCAGAGTCTGTGCCAGGCGGCAGCCTCAGAGCAGAGTCAGCAGCTGCAGCACCATGCCTGCCTAGTGCAGGCCCTGCTGGAACAAAGCCACCAGCTGTGTGCACAGAAGGAATGGGTGAGTGGCTGCTGATCTGCCCAGGGATACCTGCTGGGGAGGGCTTTGCCAGAGGTACATTGGCACTCGCTCACGCCCCTCCTCTTCTCCATGCCATCCAGAAACCAGCCAGGCTCCTTCAAAGGGCATGGGCTAATTGCAGCATCTTCTGGGACCAGGCCCATCCCTTGAAAGCTGCCTCACAGGAGGCCAAGCAAGGCCGAGCAGCCTCTTGGCCTGGTGGAGCCCCAGTGCTGCAGCTGAGGAGGCCCAAGAGCCCGGAACAGCCCGGGAAGGCTGGTAAGGAGGCTGGCTCCAGGTGTGTCGAGTGGGGTAGATCACACAGGGACCAAGAGGGCCAATTTGTGGGTTGCTCCTTCCCTTCCCCCATCCTTCTCCTTGCCTGCTCACCAAGCTGATAGGCAGAAATTCTATTTCATTCTTACTTATACAAAGATGTTTATCCCATTCTTCTAATGCCTGGGCTAAGTGCTCCTGAAGCATCAACTGCCAATAGTGGCAGGAATAAGACAAATTCCAAGTTTCTGTTAGTGCAAAAAAGCATATCCATAATTCTCACCCAATCCAAGCATGCTGGACCATGGGAGTCCAAGGGCCTGGGGCCCCACACCCTTCCTATCTGAGCCTTCTACTCCGCAGCATTGGAGATGGTCCAGGACCAGCCGGTGGAGAGGGGCCTCAAGCTTCAGCGTCTTGGGAAAGTTGGCTGCCCTCTGGAGGTTCTCCTTGGAAAAGGCTGCCTAGCTGAAGCAGAGCTGGAGCAGAAAAGGTCTCTTCCCTGGGCTGAAGTAGGCCAGGTTGGGAGTGGACTTGCCTTTGGGTGGGGGATAACCCATTGCTTTCTTCTTAGCTTCTTGGGAGGAGATGGTCTTGCTGCTGCCACCTCTGGCAGAGAACTGCTAAAGGAGCTGATGGAGAAGCTGAGCAGGTCCAAGCGGCAACCTTTGCAGGCAGCACCCATGCTGGAGTTGGAGAGGCTGCGGCAGCAGGTGAGCTGCGTGAGATAGACAGGAACATGCCCTCCCCCTGGTGAATCAAGAGCCTGTTTCTCTGTCCCGTAGAGCACCTGCGCCAAGATCTATGGCATCTGGAGAGCCACATTGCTGGGGTGGGATTGATGGCCAACTTCCCATGCAGTTACAGGAGACAGAGAGGAGAGTGCAGGCCCTGCAGACCTGTGTGATGGAGCAGAAGGCAGACAGCCGTTCTCTGCAAGAGCAGCTGACCAAGCAGACAGCTGTGTTGGGGCTGGTGAATGGACGCTTCAGGCAGGCCCGGCTGCAGCTGCAGCACCAGGCAACCGCGGTGAGCCAGCCCAGAGGGCTGATGGCCCATGGCTGGGCAACTCCTGTGTCCTGGCAGTACCAGCAAAGCCACCAAACATCAGCTGCTAGAAGGACCCTTGGCTCTGGCTTTTCCAATGCTCCCACTCCACCCAGCCCCTTTTCCAACGTGAAAGGTGGGAGGTGTTCTGGAGGGGCCAAGTTTTGCCTGCCCTTGTTTGGCAGGAGCAATGCTGGCAAATAGGCATGAGGCTGCCAGCTGGCATTGCATGGAGGACAGGGATGGGGCAAGTGGGGTGGGCCCAGCTGCCCCTTTAGTGCTGGATGCTGCAGTGAGTCTCTGTCCTCCACGGAGAGACTCCAAGCTTCACAAGCTCCTTGTCAGCCAGAAGCAACCCTGTTTATCTTCCTAGCACTAGCGTGTCCTAGCTGCACACACTCCACAATTCCACTATTACTTGCAGCTCAGACTCCCTGCTTTCTTCCATGCACTGCCTGGCCCCCAGGAAGCCAACCAGGGACTGGGGAGGGAAATGACCCCTAGGCAATCTCCAGAAGGAAATAATCCTTCCTTGCCTGCTGTCCCATGCACTCCACCCGAGGACAGGAGGAGGAAATGGTGGTGGCCAGTAAAGGTCTTGTTGCTCCTTAAGAATGGGAGAGAATCAAGCCAGCCCCCAGCTCTTCATTTTTCTGAGGGTGGCCGAAGCTGGGGGGGGGGGGGAATGGCCCTGAGGAGCACAGAGTGACGCTAGTCTCTAACCTTCCCTGGTGTCCTCGGCCGGGTCATTTGCAGCAGATTTGCAAGGCCTTTTGAGGGAGCGCTCTGGATCAGAGCATGGCAACCAACCCAGATGGCTCTTTTCTTCACCCAGCAGATAGAATCTTTACAAATCTCCTTGGAGGCATCCCGCGCTGGCCATCACTGGCTGCACCAGGAGAGCGAACTGGTGGTGGCCGATGTTCGCCAGTGGGTAAAGGAGCAAAAGTGAGTGTTGCCCAGTCACAGTAGGAGAGGGATGCTTCAGCTGAGTTTGCTATGGGGCAAAGGGGCGGGTGGTGGTCAATTTGCTTCCTCAGCAGCCTCTTTGTTACAGGCAGATGAATGAGGAGCTGGGCCACAAGCTCCGAACACAGATCAAGCAAATTGCCCAGCTCACTGGCGAGAGAGAGTGAGTGACAAAGCTGCTCTTTGGTGCTGGGGGGTGAGGGGAGTATTTGTAGGATTCCTTCACCCACCCACCCACCCACCCTCTCCCTCCCTTGGTGAAATCAGACCAGGTGCGTGTTTAATTTAGGATGGACTGAAAAACAGCTGCGGGTACCTTTAAATTCCAGACACCTTTCCTTTCAAAAGCCTGCAGTGATCATGAGGGTTAGGGTTACTTAACCTAAGGGGTTCTCTGCACCCCTTTTCCCTCCCACAGCCTTCTGCATCAACTACTGGAGAGGCTGCAAGAGGACAACCAACAGTTAAAGAATGAAATCAACGAGAGGTGCATTGTATGTGAGCGCATCAAGGCAAGTGCCAAGAATGACCAGAGGTTGGAAGAAGAGCAGAGGATGCCCAATTACAGCCCGCCTCCCATTTCCTTAATTGTAGCAGTAGCAGAGAGAGATTGTATAAAGCTGGGGTCCCCAACCCCCTGTCCACAGACACAAACCAGTCTGCAGCTTGTTGGGAACTGGGCCACACAAGTAGTGGGTGAGCACATAAAACCATCTCCTTCCCCTGTTGCCGGTCCATGGGGCTAGAAAGGTTAGGGACTGCTGGCCTAAAGGAAGCATACTTTGACCTGCTCCTACAGAACCCCGTGGACCAGGAGAAATAGAGAGCTGAACTAGGATGGGTTTGGTCTGGTTTCATGAGCACCAATAAACATTGGGTGGTTCTAAACATGAAGTCTCTGGTTGCAGGCTCTCCACTACAGTGATTTGGAGCCGCAGGCTGTACTGCAACAACTCTGGCACATACTTCTGTTATGAACCCATTACACTCATCCACCTTTCCAGGGGCCACAGCCAGAGAACGCAGCTCTGGAGTGAAGGTAAACTGTGTCCAGAAGAGCCGGTCTGCAGCCAGCAGGGATCCCTTCCTGCAGACCAGGCTTTGCTATTGAGAGAACTTGTCTAAGTGTCCCATCCGTAGCTGCTGTCATGATGTAGCACTTCTAGCAGAGCACCACCCTTGCTTGAAAAAAAGACCCAACATCCACCAAAAGAGTCCAGGAGCAACAATGTTTATATAAACAATAAAATGATATCCTGATCTCGGCAGCAGAGCCAACGCGAAGCTATATATAATGCAGATGTCCATGGCTAGAGGCCAAAGCGAGCTGGGGTATGGCGAGGTGTGGCAAGCTGGCCTTGCTCTTTGCGCCCTGGTGTATAAATCTTTGTGGACCTGCAGAAAGGGGCACAAAGGAAAGACTGAAGAGAGCAGACTACTCCAGGCTCGGGACTTCTCCCCTGGAAGAGGAGCCCACGGGGTCATACCTGACGCTGCCCATTGGATTACAACGCTCCTGTTCTTCTCTGCGAGCACGGAGCTGCTCTTCCGCCAGAGCCATCTCTTCTTCCATGGCAGATGCTTCTTCCTTGGCTCGCCGCCGGCTCTCCTAGAACAGAACAAGCAGCCACGCGAGATTTCATCCGTCTTCTTCCATCCTGCTTTACTATGAAATGTGGCCCAACCCAAACACTGCTACACAGACTTGATGTCTGTATCTTGGTTGATGAGCAGCGGCATTAATTTTTTAAAATATTTCCAGCTTGCCAGGAATTGGAGCTGGCTGGCTTTCTTTTGGAGCAACTGGATGATTCCCCCAGCAGCTCGTTCTCACCTGACGAGACTTGCCAGCATGCTTGATACTGTAGAACATGGGCCCCAACTCAGCCAGCCATTCCCCATCCACAGCTGTGACACACTGCATGTACTCCTGCAGGTTAAAGGCAGAGATGAGGAAGCTGGTAATGGAGAAAAATGGATCTGCCCACATCTGCCACCATCATCCTATGTAGGCCCCTTTCTCCAACGTATCCCCTCACCTTGGTGGTCATCACCAGTTCATGGTAGACAATATAGTCGGGAGTGTAGCCCATCCCAAAAAGCGAGCTGGTAGGGTGCAAGTGGCAGCGCATCCCTGTGCGGATATTGACATATTCCCCGATGCCCTGCAGCAGAGCATAAAGGTCAGTGTTGCCTGGCCCCAGTTCCTTCACAGGCCTTTAACTGCTTTAGGAAATCAACCAGAACAGTCAGAAGACACCAGAGGAAAAGGGGGCCTTGGGTAGAAGCCATATGGAAAATCTATAATTAATCCTCCACATTGAGACAGGATCGTGGGATTCTGGATATGGCATTCCAGAACATTCCTTCATGGACTGGGTCCAGGTTATCCGAGGGAATGCCTGGCAGAGAGGGCCACAGGGTCCATCTGTGAGAGACCTACCTACATTTGAAGGGTCCCAGGAGTTAGGCCTTCTCTGCCATGGTGCCCACTTTATGCAGCATTCCCCCCACCTTTCAAGTTAGTTCTATCCTTGTTGATATTCAGGGAGGCCCTCAAAACCTGGTTGTCTCATCAGGTTTCAGGAAACTCGGACCCTTTTAAGGTGGCTTCCCTATTGTGGTCGTGCTGTGTGTGTGTGGTTTGATTTTTAATGATGAATGTTTACATTTTTATAATTTGTAACAATTGTTTTTACATTGTGGTTTTATTATTTCCTGCTGCCAAGAGTTGCTTCCAATGTATGTAACTTTGATTAATAAATAAATAAAATGGAGCTTCCTTGGTGTTGGTGCTGGGCAGAATCAAGACCTGGCCTCCATCTCCTGAGGCTCACAAAGAAGTGAATCTGTCTGAGGATGTTGGGAAGGGAAATTAGTTGAGCAAGTTGCGAGGCGGCCTTGTGGGGTGGAGGTTAAAGCCCCCCCTCCAAATACACAATAGATGGAGGAGCAGGCCGCTACACAAAAGGCCCTGCTCTGCAACCAATGGAAGCAGGTGAGCCGCGCAGGGAGCCAAGAATCTCTCACCTTCAGTTTTGCAGCCTGGTGAAAGTAAGCAGCACAGATGCACTTGCGAACCACGTCCCAGTCGGTGCCGCAGGAAGCCAGGCTCATGTGTTGCTGCACCATGATGTCCTTCAGCTGCGCTCGCACCTCCCGCACCTGGAAGATAAGGGCCAGAGCAGGTTCAGCTCTGTTCACGGTCACGCTGTGCCTCTTGGGCCTGCCCCAACACGCACCTTCCGCATGGCCTTGGCGTGAATGAAGTGTTCATTGCACCAGAGCGTTGAATAACTGTTATTTTTCCACTGCAGATAAACATTCAGGTAAGTCAAGTGGTCGCTCTCGGGAACAGCAAACTTCTCTCGCACCTGGTCGCTTTCTTCCTCCCGACCCTGCAGAGAGACGGCAGAAAAAGTGACAGACCAGGAAGCCCATTCCTGAGAGCAAAGACCAAAAGAATCCCTGACCCACCTTTGGTCGGTAAAAAATGGCTGGAACTGAGAGCATGGAGACGATCAGCAGGATCTCAGAACTGCAGCCCATATCACAAGAAACAATCAGCATCTTGGAGAGGGCTGGATCAAGGGGAAACTCCACCATCAGACGTCCAGTTGATGTCAGACCACCTGGAGGGACAGTGATCTTCTGAGCCAAGCCCCACAAAAGCACAAGCCCCCCCACATATGGGGAAAGGGTTGTTCCACCCAACCTGTGTTATCAAGCGCCCCGAGAATCCACAACTGGTACATTGAGTTGAGCATGTTGTCTTCTGGAGGGGGATCCATAAAGTGGAACTGTAGCAGGTCTTGCACCCCTAAAGACTTAAGAAGCAGCACCACATTGGCCAGATTGGTACGTTGGATCTCGGGGACAGTGGTGGTCAGCAGTTCATTCTTGTATGCACTCTGGGTGTACAGTCTGCTCAGGAAAGAGAGCAACCACCTCAGTGGAGCAGCCTTGGCCACAGCAGCAGAACAAGATTTGGCAGCTGCAGACAGCATTTACTGCGGTGCCCACTTGCTGCAAGGAGACCCCTTGGATACGTACAACTCCTACCTGAAACACTGACCTGGGCCTGTCCTTCCAGCTCGGCCAGAGCGCTGATTTGCATTAGCCTGGCTGATTGGATAGATCTGCAGGGCATCCATGCCAATCCGTGGGTTGAAGACCTGAGATGTAACAAGTAGGGTAAGTCGGGGCTTCATCCCTAAGACCTTATGCTTTTTCTAAGCAAACTTCCTTACCTTCAGTTTGCAATATCCGGAGTCGATCACAAACATGATCCCATCAACTGTCAACGAGGTTTCTGCAATATTGGTGGCCACAATACACTTCCTGACTCCATCTGGTGCCTGCCAAGAATCCAAGTTTCAAGATGCAGCTACCAATCCATCGTCAACTGAAATGCTCAGCTTCTCCCAAGGAAAGACCCTGAAGTGTGGTGGCTTTTAATTCCAGCATCTTTGTTTTCAGAAGCTACTGTAAGTCCTATAAAGGCTTGAATTAGCAATCCCTTTGACTGAAATGGCCTGTATCCACAGCTCCTGTAAAAGCTTCTAGTTTCTACTTCCTAAGAAGAGAAAGATGTTTGTCTTCTCAAGCCATGGCACAAAATTCATCTACTTCCAGGACTCTCGTTTTTTGCTGCAGGTCAGGCTGCTTGCCAACTATTCTACTCATCTTGAGTTCTTTTCCCTCATCTTGGGAAAAGCCATGATAGAAGCTTCAAGCTTCCAGGTACCATTGCCAAGTAAATCTGAGATCATCACTAGTGGAAAGCAGGCTATACCTTCTGGAAGATCTTGGCCTGCAAATCTGAAGGTAGCTGAGAGTAGATTGGTAGCACAGCCAGAGCAGGAGCGTTTTCCAGTTCTTCCAGATGCTCCACAATCTGCTCAGACGTAACCTGCAAGATGAGGCGAGGCAAATATATGTGCATTAGGGGGCTGACTAAGATCTTAAATACTCCCACAGATGAACTCACCTCGATGTCCTCCTGGCCTGGCATGAAAATGAGGATATCTCCAGGGGCACTGGAGAGGTGGACCTGCAGGGCCTGCTTCACTGCTGCCTCCACATAGTCTTCTTGCGGAGTCTGAAAGAGCAAAAAGGAGGCTGATACACCTATCCAGGTGTCACCTGGATGGCCTGGTCCAGGCCTTTGCTTACCCCATACCTTGCTAAAGAGAACGTCGACAGGAAATGTGCGGCCTGGAATGTGGAAGATGGGCACATTTCCAAAGAAAGACGCAAACTTCTCTGCATCCATGGTGGCCGAGGTAACAATCAACTTGAGATCTGAGCGACGGGCTACCACCTATGAAAAGACAGGATCGTTGCCAAAGAGTAATATGAAAATCCCAAATGGCCCCTTTATAGCCACTCATTTTGCATTTTTCCTTCCTTTTGCCCAATGAAAGTTTCAGAGTGAAAGCATTTGCTTCTCCAGGGATACATCACTTCCATATCATGGTTGCCTATATAATTAGGTTGCTTCTGCTCAGCTGCCTTTTTGCAACCCTGGTAACAAAATGTTGAGCAGCCAATGCACTTAATTGTGCTCACCGCTAAACCTGACCCAGCAGCACTACAGAGAAGGTGGCTAAGGCTGGCCACTTTGACTTTAGGAGGAGTTCCTAGTCATTTGTGGAGCAAAGAATCATTCTGAGGATTGTATTAAAAACACCCTGATGGAGAAAGAACTAAACACCTATTTAGAAGGGACCTTGAAGTCTTCTAGTCCAACCTTCTACTCTGTATCATACCAAATTTAAGAAGCAACCCTCGAATCTGTTGCTTTGAATGAGAATAGAATTCTTTATTCTATTCTTTATAAGCCCACTGATATGAAGAAAAGACCTTTAGAGACGGATGAAGAGATACTGCCTAGCAAATGGAAAGGGAAGGAGCCTTGCCCCCAGCTGTACAGGGGGTGGAACAAGAGGTTCTGAAGGGACCCTCCCCGAGTTCACAAGCTGTAAAGGTGACTCTCGAGGCTGTTAATGTAACCTTACAATAAAAGAGTGGTCATGTTTCTTGTCTCGTCTACCTGGTAAGGCTGACAATCCACTCTGAAGCTCCTATAAAGCCAGGCTGTTGGGAACAGCATCTCTAGAGGGCTCTGGGTTGCCTACTTACAGCAATGTGGTGTGTACCTGCTGGCCATACTGCTGAATGGATAAAGGCTGATTGAGATTGGCAATTACAGCCTAAGCAGGTGAAGGACCCAAGGCCACTTTCATTGAAACACAAGCAAGGAGCTCTCTATCCCTCAGTCCTCTAAGCCCTCAAAATAGATGACAATGCTCCACTTTATCAGCTTTTTCAAGAAGCAGTTGGCCCTCTTAGGATAAAATCAAAGGGGGTTTCAGACGTGCAATTGGAAAGATGCAACATGGGCCTCCCATTCAGGCAGTTGTGGGCAATGCAGGATCAGGTGGCTGGCTTCTGTGCTGCAGTGAAGTGTCCACGGCCCCCAAGGGGAAAGGCTGGGACTGCCTGCCCACAACTGCCACCACTACCCCTTTCTGGGAGATTAAAAGTGGGTCTGGAAGGATATTAATTTTCCATTTATCTTCTAAGAATCAATTTCAGCCTGGGTCCTACTAATCCTAGCCCCACCTCCTCCTATCTACTCTTCGATACCCAGCAGCACAGACAGCAGTTTTAGCTTGTGTTCAACATGAACAGGTGAATGAGCTGGGGGGGGGGACGTATTCTTTTTTTCCCTCCACTGCAGGAACCCTGCCAGAAACCCCAGACAAAGCCCACCAGGCACCTACTTCTCGCAGGAGGCCAAACAGCACATCCGTGTTGAGCGAGCGTTCATGAGCCTCGTCCATGATGATGGCACTGTAATGGTCAAGATCAGCTTCACGCAGAGACTCCCGAAGCAAGATCCCGTCTGTCATGTACTTAATCACGGTACTCTCCGAAGTGCAGTCCTCAAAGCGGATGGCGTAGCCCACCTGGCACAGGCACAAGGTCCACAGGCAGAACTCACCAAGCAGGCCAGAAGAAGCCAAGCCCCCACGGCCCTCAGCCGGCCTCTGAGTGAAGGAAGGTGACCCACAGCCTCGCCCAGATGCCCCACGGCCTGCAGCACTCACCTCCTCCCCAAGGGCCACGTTCATCTCCTCACTAACACGTTTGGCCACGGACATGGCTGCCACTCGACGTGGTTGTGTGCAGCCAATCATGCCATAGTCCGTGTAGCCGTCCTCGTGTAGGTACTGTGTCAACTGCGTTGTTTTGCCACTGCCCGTCTCTCCCACCACAATCACAATACTGTTGTCTCTGTCAGGAGGAGGCAGCAACTCTTGTCATTGGCTGCAATGATACGGCGTAAAGACCCTCCACCCCCTCCTGGATTTTTCAATTTGCAAAATGCCTCGATATTCCACGTGCTGTTTAATACAGGCATTCCACATCATTTTATTTGCTAGGGCCTATACCAGAATCTACTGGATTCTCGATAGCATAGCACTGGCTTGAGTAAGGCAGCCGCCCTCCCATCCCATTGTCTGTTCCAAGGGAAGCCTTGGTGAAGGCTGGAGGAGGGAGGGAGGGAGTGCAGACCTGACAACTGTCAAAAGCTCTTGCTGAACAGCGAAGATGGGCAAGTACTGCCTCTGCTCCACAATTGACTTTTTCTTGGCAAACTCACTGCTTGCCTCACTCTTCTCTTTCACATGTCCAGCAAACTTCTGTTCTGTCCTGCAAGAGGAGGGTTCAGAGCATTTCATCCCTTGTCAGATCACTTCCCCGCCCCGGCCTTTACAACTGACCTCCATCCTACCTGTAATCCACCGTGCCATCCTCGGCCAGGACTTGCCTTGATTCCTCCTCCTCCTCCTTTTTTATGCCCATTATGTTCCCAAGTTTTGTCCCTGCCAGCTCCCAGTGCCTGTGCTGGGCCTAAAAAGCAACATCAAGCAGTTATGCCTGTTTTTGGTCCACTTCTGCAAAATCACAAGCCTAGTAACAAGAAACTAATGTTAAGAGCCAAATGCATGCAGTGGTAGAAATCAAGTGAACATAGCTGCAGCTACTATAGATCAAAGTCAATTAAATGAGCAGTCACTGGACAGACACAGACCCCAAAATGCCCTTCCGAACAACAGTGCTGTTCTCAAGGCAGTGTGAGTTCTACTAAAGAAAAATACTCCTTTCTTGCCATTTCTTAAATCCCCTTAGGTACCTGGCTGCTGAACCAGGTGGAGGCCTGGAAAATCTAACAGGCATCTTTCAAATGATACCTCAAAAGCCTCCAGTAAACAATGCTGCACTGGTAACTTAGGTGCTATGCGCAAACAGTGACTCTTCCCTGCTGCAACCTACTCATAGAAAATAAGTAACCTTCAGAGGCTGCCCCTTGGGCAATGCATTAAGGTGACAAGAGCCTAGATTTTCTTCTCCAAACGAGGCAATCAGCCGAAGCTGAGCAAAGGCTCCTGAAACTCTGGCTTCCACCAGTAATGATGAGTCCAGAAAACCCGCTCCTTTGGGGAAAGTGCTAGCCCACCTGGAGGACGGTACTTGTTTCTCTCCAGATCAGGGAGTCCTCATCATTCAATGCCGTCCCCCCCACCCCACCACAGCTTCCTGCTTCAGGATTTCCCTCAGTTTACACAACTGAAGCTCCCCCCCCCCCCCGCTTTAATATGTACTACAAGCCACTTGAGCGCTGCACCTGCCTTCCCTACTGTTAATAGTTCAGGGGAGGTTGTATTATTTATTTTGCTTATTATTTTCCTTAAATTCACCTTTTATTATTTTAAACAAATAACTCAAGGCGGTAAACCACACCTTCCTTTTATTTACCCACAACAACAACCCTTTGAAGTGCGGTGGGCTGAGAGGCCAGCCATAAGGCTGGACTTGAGCTCATGGTCTCCCACTTACTAGCCTGTTGCCTTCACCACTAGGCCAAACCAGCTCTCTCTCCACCAAAGAGACAGGGACCCGCCTGCACCCCATACAGCAAGAGACTCAGCCAGCACCTTCTTGCGCTCTTTTTGCTCCCGATGCTTCCGCACCAACAGGCTGCCTTTGCGGGCAATGATGGCCAAGTCGGAGGTGGCATCTTTGACAGGGATGACGGGCTCAGGCTGGAAAGAGTGAAAAAAGGGATAATTTCAAGGCAGCAAAGGTCCACTGGTCCTTCCCCCCACACCCCCAGCACCACTTCACCTGACCTGCTTGGTGAAAACAATGCGCCCATCCAGAAAAGGAGGTACCAGGTTGTGCACTAAGAGATGCACCCTGGCAGCATTATCCTCCTCAAAGTCCTCCTCCACCTCCAGCCGATGCACCACACCACTCGTCAGCATGCGGTTGGTCTCCCAGCGCTCGTTATCCTGCCGAGCAAAAGGTTAAATCAGGCAGCAGCCCCCGCTTCTAGGACAAGCAGGCCTTGGGGGGCTCCCAGCAATAGCAGAGACCAAGCGGACCCACTGTTTCTGGATCACAGTGAGCACGAGGGCCCCTCAACCTAGGATGCCCCTGCCCTGCCTTGTCCAACCTCATTGATCTGCCTGCGCTGAGCTGAGATGCGCGTCTGCTTTTGCCTCTGCAGGTGCTGCTCACGCTTCCTCACGTACTCCTCTGAGGAGGCAGCCAGAGGGTTGTGGAACTCATCATAGCCCTCGTCCATCATATACCAGTCCCGGTCAGCTTGCTGAGTAGAGACAAAAATGGTTATAAAGTCTCTCCAAAGAAAAATGAGGTCTCTTCTGCTGCGCTGCTCATAGCAACACCACAATAGTCCCACCACCACTACTAAGGAAGCCCTTTCCTCAACACTACAAACTATTGGAAATCTGATCTCTCTCTCTCACACACACAGATTGCCATTTCACCATGAGAGGCAAAAAGAGATCTCCAAGCCCCTGGGAGAAGTCTCTTCCTAAGGGTTGGCCAGCTGGAACCGATCTCACCTCACACCCAGCAATGAAAATCCCACAGCCCACACTTAGAAAGTGAAAAGCAGCCCCAGCCACTGGAGTTTGTCAACCAGAGATTTGCTTCAGTCTCATTCTGAAGTTTTTTGCTTCATTTCTTCCCTTTCAGCCATTTTGCCTCAAATAGCAAGGTAACCACCCCAGGGATTAAAGCTGCTAACTCACCCGCTGATCGTCCTCCCATTGCTGCCGTTCTTCCTCCGTTTCAAATGCAATGCCATCTTCCCCATCCTCACATCTCCCTGGAAAAATATCTCATGAGATGCCAATTCTACCTTGGATTGAAGCAAGCCCGGGCCTCTCCCCGCTCCACAATCTTTATCTTACCCCTGCCTCTGGAGAGCCAAGGGGGTCCACCCAAATGCCTTCGGTTGTGGTTGTCAGCCCACTCGTTGTATTTGTAAGTAGGGGTGGGCAAAGGCGTCTCTTCGGGGCCTCTGCTCCTGCTGGACCTGCAAAGGGCGACCACCACCGCAAAACTCACTCTCTCCACCCGTCCCCCAACCAAGCCGGGCCACTCAGGCCACTAGCGCAGCGCCATCCGCCTGCAATCCTTTGGTCCCGCCGTACCGTTCGCGGTCGCCCCGCCTCTCGCTCTCCCGAGGTTGAGCAGGGCTCCGGTGGCTCCGCTCCGAGTCCCTGCAGGAGGGAGCCGGGGAGGGAGACTCCCACTGGGAGCGGCGGGACCCGCTGTAACCGCTGTCTTCCTCCTCCCAGCTCGAGTGCGACGGCGTGGCTGCATCTGAGCACCGGAAAGGAAGGCGTGAGCCAGCGAGGGGCAAAGCCGCCCCCGCCCCGTCCCCCCGCTTCCCAGGCGGTCTCCCCGCTGCCAAGCACCTTTGGGCGGCTGCCGCGGACTCTCCGGCTCGGTCCTCGGGGCGCTCCTGCTCCTCTCCGAAGAGCCATCCTTGTCGGCGCGGGGAGTGCGCCGGCCGCGGTCACGGGTCTCTGCGGAGAATGGCAGGTCAGCAGCGTGGGCAGAGGGTCCCGCGAGGCCGGCGCCGGGCCCTGGCTCACCTCGGTCGCGCTTACGCTCCTGCTCCCTCCGGCGCTCCTTCTCCTTGGACGAGGCGAAGACGCCCTGCTCCCGCCGCTCGCGCTCCCGCTGCCGGCTGCGTTCCCAGAAGCCCTCGCTGACGCCCCCCGGGTTCGACGGCGTCTCCGCCTGGGCCGAGCGGTACTGCCTGCCGGGGAGGGACGGGGGGCTCAGCCGGCCTGCCGGGCGGCCTCGGAGCCCCCCGGACCGTCGCCCGCCCTGCTCACCTGTCCCTGCGCCGGCGGCCGCCCCGCCCCGCCCCGTCGCCCGGCTCCTCCGGCGGCTGCCGGGGCGGCTCGTCCGCGCCCTCCTCGGCGGTCCCGCCGCGGGGCCTCTTGGCGGGCCGGTCCTCCCGCTCGCGGCGCTTCTGGGCGGCCAGGAGGTCGAGGCCCAGCAGGGAGGCGCGCGGCGCCGGGATCTTGAAGACGTGCTGCTCCTCGGCGGCGCTGCGCCGCTTGACCAGCACCAGCCCCCCCACCTGCCCCTCGGGCGCGAGCCCGGCCAGCCGGTGCAGCGAGGCCTCCGCAGCCGCCGCCTCCGCGCGCTCCTCCATGGGCCCCTGCGCGACGCTTCCTCTTCCGGACGGAGCGGGGCCGGCGGCGGCCGTCCCAGAATGCCCCGCGGCGGCGTCCCTCTGGCCCTCTTTCCGCCATAGAGCCGCGGAGGGACGTTCTAGCCGCCGCCTTTGAACTTCCTGGGCTGGGCAGAGTCCCATCCGTGAAGCTTCGACTTTCGTGATGCATCGGCCGCCTTGCCGGGGCTGCCCGCTTATTCTGCGGTGCCGGGCTAAGCAGGGAACCTTAGCCCTGTCTTGGACACAAAGCCGGGCGGATCTCTTGGGCCTCTTCCCAAAATGCCTCCTAGAAGACTGCGTGGGCTCGTCCGCGTACTGGACTGGAGCCAAATCCGAATCAAGGACAAAAAAAGCTGCCATTCTTGGTTTAAAAGCCGTTTATCTCAACTGGAAGATTGCAATCCTGGGAGCATTTGAAAACCTGGCTTTGGTCCCAAGCCCAGCGTTGTTTATCATTGTTCACCGGCGCATTTGGTTTTGTTTGCAATATATTTTAGCCTAGAGCCTAGGCTACTTGTTGATTTTAATGTTTCTAGTATTTTATTGAATTTATCTTGCCATTCGCCCATGGCGACTCAAGGCGGCTTACAGAATATAAAACTTCATTTAAAACAATAAAACTAATAAAAAGAATCAAATTAATATAATAAAATCACACACCACACACCCACCCTGGGGACAGCAGATCACAAGAGCCATTTAATGGTCTCCATCCTGCTCTGGGTTCCTTAGGCCCGCTGGCCAAACCAGGTCTTTAGCGCCTTCTGGAAGAGTGTTAATGTAGGAGCCATTCTAATCTCTGAGGGAATGATGTTCCAGAGAGAGGGAGCCACCATGGAGAAGCCCTTCTTCTGGGTCCCACCAGGTGTATCTTTCTAGGGGATGGGCAGCATTCCCTGCCTCCCCACTCTGATGGATCGGGTAGATGTTACCGGCAAGAGACCATCCCTCAGATCACCTGGTCCCAAGCCATAAAGGGTTTTAAAGGTGACAACCAGCACCTTGAATTGTACCCTGAAGCAAATTAGCAGCCAGTGCAGCTTCTGCAGAAGAGGTGATACGTGCACACCAGGGACTGCACAAAACCATGCAGGCCGCTGCATTTTGCACCAACTGGAGCTTCTGGATGCTCAAGGGCAGCCCCATGTAGAGTGTGTTGCAATAAAGACAGGAAGTGACTAGGGTGTGAGTGATTGAGAGTAGGAATTGTTGGTCTAGGAAAGGGCGTAATTGGCACACAACCCACAGTTGCGCAAAGGCCCTCCTGGCCCTGACCGCCATCTGCTCTGAGGAGTCATGAATCTAGGAGAACCCCCAGATTACGCACAGGATCTGGGGTACTGCCACCCCATCCAAGACCAAAGGTGGCAATTCTCCCTGAGCCAACGAACCCCAAATCCAGAGCCACTTGGTCTTACCAGGGTTTAATTTCCTGGGATTTGGGACTTTGTTACTAGTACATTAATAAAGGTGATATAGTATTAGCATTTTAGCATCACATATTTGCCTCCTCCTATGGAGTGTAGGAAACCATATTTTTCCTTTGAGCCAAATCCATTCCCTTTGATGCGTAAAAACCAGCCCTTTCATCAGGGCTGTAAATGTCCTTCAATGTTGAAAGTGTTACAGAAGCAAACCCAGGTGGGAAAGGAGATGCAACCTATTTCAACAGCATCTCTTTTCTCCCCCCTTAATGCCTTTGGATTTGTTGCTTTCTGGTGGATCACGTACATTGAATGGATGTATCATTTCTGTATTATAGGTAAAGACTTGACAAACCACCACCCCCTTTAATACAATGCTTTTCACTTTGCTTAAAATACTTGCAGTTGTTTGGGAGGCTGAAAAAGCCATTTTGCAAAGATATTTGCAAATATCTGAGTTTGAAAGGCAACACTAGATGTTTTTATGTATAGTTTTGTATGCCACCCAGTAAACTGAAATTGAGCAGCCAATAAATTTAGATACATATTTTGTTACCAACCCCTTAATAGATTAATTTTTGAAGCTGTTTACCTGGTGCGAAGCACACTTCCTTCAAAGGAGACTCAGCATCTTCTACTGCCTAGATAGGCTTAGACACACACATTTCAAAACAAAATTAAGTAACTTCCAGAGGAAACAATCTCAATATTTTATTTTTAAAAATTGTTGTGTGCCTTCTCCAAAACTTCTGAATAACAACACTGGTTTCCTCTACTCAGTATGGTACAGGCCTCCCAACCTTACGAGGAGAGAGAGACTGAGATTCAACAAAAGAAACACTGATACTATGTTCCTCCCCAACTCTGTGACCCATTTCTACTTTCTTGTGCTGGGGTACTGCTTGCATCAGTCTCACGACATCAGGAAAGCTCTTTAGCTTTTACACTTCCCCAGGAGAGGATGTATGCCAACACTTGTTTCCCCCTTGTTACATGTCTTTTTTTTTTTTTAAGGTCCAAATTCCCCCCTCATCATTAATGAGGGGCAGGAAGTAGCCAGTGGATCTCCGACAACACGTCCTCTTTTGCTGCTGGTCCAGAGAGTTCAAGGGTCCCTTTTGTCACACTAATCCTCAGAAGTTGTGATCCGCTCCCACAGCATCTTGAACACTCTGGAATCCTTGTTCTCTGCTCAAGGCAAATAGAATTATGTGAACTCTTCTTCTGTCTCTTGGGGATAAAAAGGAAAATATCAACCCCTGTGAACTATCTTTTCCTAAATGTTTTTCTTTGCTCCGCAAGCTCCACTTCCTTAGTTAATACCCCATGCAAGAACCTAATTCCTTTCAGTGTATATTCCTCATTGTGTACTTCCTTACTCTAGTAGTCTCTTCCTCTCCAATGACTCTAAGTACAACCATTAATTTTCCAATACCAATTATCCCAATACTAAGTGAAGATTCCAAAGAAAGGGGGGGGGGATTTGCCTTTTTTCACAGTTTCCTATGAGTTCAGATCTGGAACATGAACCTTCCCTGCCATTAGGCTCATCTGGCTGATTGGAGTGCTATCCTCCTGATCTTTATAAGTATTTAGGGGCAATTTTTAAATCAATTAATAAAAGATTTATTCAAGTCCTGGTTCCTCCTTGTTGGTGTCCATCCTTTTAAGTGCTAAATAAGCTATGCTGATTTAGCATGCTGATTTAACAGGGACTGCCTACAAAGAGAAGCACTTGTAGAAGGAAGAGAGCCTGCTTTTCCCTCACAGATAATACACGACACATCATTCTTAATTTCGAAGTAACAAAAACAGACTTAAATCCAATTGTTTTAGAACAAATGACAGAGTCTTGTATTTTAGATCTAACCATGGGCCAAAAGAAATTTAGCTTTCCAGGGAGGGGAGGGGCTAGCATCGCGGTGAAATGACGGATCTTTTGGGGGCTCATGAGGGACTGTAGATATCCCAGCTGTTAGGTGGTCCTTTTGGACATGAGTTGTCTGGTAGGGACGACGAGCAAGGGGAGCACACTCTGTGGATCTCAGGGAACTCACAAATTCCCTGATAGAGCCGGAGAAGCTCCCTAAACAGATGGCTGGGAAGGCGACCATTGTGAGTCGCTATGAAGCTGGGGCAGCCACTGCAGAGCGCAGAAACGAAAGGAAGGTGTGATCAGTCTGGGTGAGATATTTTGAGTAGTTTTTACCACTCTTTAAACTGGACTAAAGAAGAACCTCCTTGGAATAGCAGAGGAGAGTGTGACCTCAAGGAGGAGGTGGAATTGGGTGTTTTACCTATTCCACCCCCAAAAGAATGGCGGCAAGGAAGTGGGTGGAGCCAAGAAAATAAAGGAATAAGAGAAAAATTGCCTTATAAAGATTGGGCTGAAGAGTAAAGTCTGAATCTGGACTGGGTACTTCAAAATTTAAATTGGGGATTATTGGCTAAAGAATACGTGATTGTATGAACTTTTTTAGAACTTTTTATTAGGATTGGACTTTAACTTGCTATGACAGTACTGTAGAGAGGGGAAGGAGAGAGAAAAAAGGCAACAGTGCCACCTACAGGCAACAGTTAAAATTGGAAGACATATTAACAAAGATGAAATGTAACCTTGGGAGTTAAGAAAGCCTGTGAACTAAATTGATAAGCAGTTGTTTTGACTAAACTATTCAAGATATAGAGTGAAACACTGGAGATTTTGTTTTTTCCCTTTAAGAACTGTGTAGATCTTAGAATCTAAAAAGCAAAAAACAAAACGACAGAGACAGACTAAGGAAATCTACACTGGCACTTTGGAATAAGGCACAGCCAAGTAAGAGAGGTGTAGCACTATATATAAAAGAGACAAGGCTAAACAAATATTTTTGGATGAGGAAGGAAGAATTTTGATGGTGGAGATCACGTTGAATAACAAACAAATATTGTTAATGGCAATATATGCACCAAATGAGAACCAAGATGATTTTTTATAGTAAACTATATAGAAAAATAATAGAATTGGAATATGAGAATATATGTATTGTAGGTAACTTCAATGCAATTGTGGATGCAGATTTGGACTATAAAACTAAAAAAAGAAACAAAAGAGTTAGGAAGACACCTCCAAAAATCTTTTTTAAAATGGTGGAAGAATTAGGTATGCAAGATGCTTGGCGAGGGACACATCCAGACAAAAATCAATACACATTTTACTCTAATAGACATATGTCTTGGTCTAGAATAGACATGATGTGGATATCAACTGAGCTAATACCCAATATACAAGAAATAAGTATAGAAGCAAACACATGGGCAGATCATAATCCAATTAAAATTATATGGAGAGAGCCTTCTCTGTGGGGGTACCTACCCTCTGGAATGAGCTGCCCCCGGAGATACGGCGGATCCTGGATCTACGCACCTTTCGCTGTGCCCTAAAGACATTTTTATTCCAACAAACCGGGCTGGCCTAACTCTTTTAAATTGCTTTAATTTTAAAACTGTTTAATTATGGGTTTTAATACAGGGGTGCTTTTAATTGTGGGCCAAATTAATTTAATCGGATTTTAATACTGTTTCTTGTGTTTTATCTGTTGGCTGTTCACCGTCCCGAGTCCTTCGGGAGAAGGGCGGTATATAAATATAAACAATAAACAAACAAACAAACAAACAAATAAATAAATAAACAGAAAGAATAGAAGAATATGGTGAAGTGGCAGGACTGAAAAGTAATAAAGACAAAACAAAAATCTTAGTGAAAAATATCATAGAAAAACAGAAAAGACTTGACAAAGAGATTAGATATCCAGATTACAAAGAAAGTAAAATACTTAGGGATACAATTAACAGCAAGATGTGTAACGATTAAGGAAGACAACTACTATAAGCTAAAAAAGCAAACTGAGGTAGATTTGGATAGATGGAAAAACCTGCAATTATTGTTAATAGGAAGACTAGCTACAATTAAAATGAACATATTACCGAGAGTATTGTTCTTATTCCAAACAATCCCGATAAAATTGGAGAAAAAATATTTTGAAGAGCTCAGTAAGATAATAGTGAAATATATATGGCAGGGGAGAAAAGCGAGAATCAATCTAAAAATGTTACAAGATGTAAGAGCTAGGGGAGGGTTTGGACTACCGAATTGGGTAATTATATTACCAGGCAGCAGCGCTAACGTGGATGAAGGAATGGATTGTATTGAGAAATACAAGGTTATTGACGTTGGAGGGACATGACCTGCAATTATGTTGGCATGCTTTTTTATGGTATGGGAAAAACAAAATACATGATTACTTCCAAAGACACTATATAAGAAATGCTTTGTTATTCGTATGGGAAAAAATGAGAGAGGAACACTACTTGAAGATATCAGTCTGGCTTTCAACGATGGAAGCACTTATACATCCAAATATTATTAATATGGGAAATATTGTTAGATATAAATATATTTTGTTGGAAAAGGGGGAACTTAAAACGAAATGTGAACTGGAAAAGCAGGGGATTGATATGGCTTGGTATACACAGTTGCAAATACAATCTAGATTTGAAAAGGACGCTAAGCTTTATGGCTTTTATATGGAATTGACAAAATTGGATAAGATATTAATAGGAATAGAAGAGAGAATGATATAAAAATTGTACAGCTACTTATTGAGCGTTAAATTAGAAGAAGAACAAGTTAAAGAAACTATGATAGCATGGGTGAAAAACTTTGGTCACACGGTAAGAGCTAGATAAATGGCAGCAACGATGGGATAGGAATTACAATTTAACATTGTCAACTGCATACAAGGAAAATTTATATAAGATGTTTTACAGATGGCAGTTATCACCCAAAAGACCGGAAATCAACTAAATGTTGGAAGTGTCAACAGACACCGGAGTCGTATTATCATATATGGTGGACGTGTGTGGAAGCAAAAAGATATTGGCCAAAAATTCGTATGCAGCAACATATTGATTTAAAACTGGAACTATTCCTGTTGGGGATTTTACCAGGAATTTATAGTAAAGAAACTATATTTGATTATTTAATAACTACAACTAGAATTGTATTTGCACAAAATTGGAAAAGCAAAGAGATCCCTATAGATGAAAATGTGATTAAGAAAATATTAGAATGTGCAGAAATGAATAGATTAACAACAAACTCTTGCCAATCCTAGCCCTGTCGACTTGGGGGGACGGGTACTGGTGCTGGAGGCCCCAGCAGTGGCCGGTGTGGGCTGTCTGCGCAGCCACGAAGTGGGATTGACGTGGCCGGTTCTTGCCCACAGCATTGCCGGCGAGGATCAGGTCAGAGCCGCTGCCGCCTGAGATCAGCAGCCCAGATTCAGTGAGCCGGATGCACTGCTGCCACTCGGGAGAAGAAAGAGAGGAGGCGCTGCGAGAGAGCCCATTTCTGATGTTCTTCTCCTCCTGGAAGCAGCAGCGTGTTCAGCGTGTTCAGCTCCCCGAATCAGGCTTGCCAATCTCGACCGGCAATGGGGATTGGCAGGTGGGGACGGGTGGGGAGGCAGAGGAGCGAGCTGCATGGAACGAGATGGGGCTTCAACCCAAAGGTGAAATATAAAGGTATGCCTTCCCCACAGCAGGCTGTTGCTACATGAAAAAGTCCTTCCCTTGTTGGCTTGATAAACAATTTTACTGGCTAGAACCTACTGGATTTTTATGTCAGTTGTCTGTTTTTACTCGCTGCAATAAATTCCAGCACTTGGTGGGCTCAGAAGCTGCATAGCAGCTTCTCCTGCTGCTATGAGCTGTTGCCTAAAACATTCAGGTTTTTTATTTTCATTTTTAGCTCGCCACTTAAGTTGGGGTTTGTATATAGGAGATGGGAATGGTGTATTACAATGAAGTACTTTGGATTGCATCTCACTTCTCCTCCATGTCTTACCTGACTTCCAGCTCCTGCCATGGCTGGCGAGGGAGGGGAGAAGAGACAGCAAGGGGAGCCCTGTCTCACTCCATGCGCCTCGCTTCTCCGCCTCCCCACCCTTCCCCACCTGCCACTCCCCCTCGCTGGCCGAGATCGACAAGCTTGATTTGGGGAGCTGAACACACTGCTGCTGCCCAAGAGGAGAAGAACATCAGAAATGGGCTCTCTCACAGCACCTCCTCTCTTTCTTCTTCTCCCGAGTGGCAGCGGTGCGTCCGGCTCACTAAATCTGTCCTGCTGATCTCAGGTGGCAGAGGGAGCGGCTCTGACCTGATCCTCGCCGGCAATGCTGCGGGCAAGAACCGGCCACACCAATCCCGCTTCATGGCTACGCAGACAACCCACATCAGCCACTAATCGGAGCTCCAGCGCCAGTTCCCCTCCCCCCAGCTCGACAGGGCTAGGGCTGGAAAGAGTTTGTTTGCAGCCCCCACTAAGAGAAGGAATGTGTGAGCTAGGGTTTGTGGAAACGGCCTCCATGAGGCTGTTCCGGGTGGATGGCAGGTGCGCGTGGGGCATGTTCCCCCACCATTGCCCACCCCCCGCCTCGCCTCACCTCATGCTGTTTGCATGGCAGCTGCACATGCATCTAAGTATTGGGAGGGGGGTATTTTCGGGGGGGGCTTATTATAGTGCATGCGTTCGAAAGCCCAATTGGGTTTATTATCTGGACATGTCTTATTTTCAGGGAAACATGGTATTAATATAAGAATGAATGTAAGAAATGAATACGGTGGTAAGTTTAATTGTTAAGACACACAAAAAATATACCCAGACAATACGCTGTTTAATAAAGATGGAATGTTTGTATTAAAAGAAAATTTTAAAAAATTAAAAAAAAAGAAACTTAGCTTTCCACTCACCTCAGTAGGGCCTCAAGCTCCTGCTTTATGGTACCCACCACAGGTGGTCCATGGTATGTGAGCACTGTATACATCTGGACCAAGGAGGCACCTGCCCGTATTTTCTCCAAGGCATCCTGGCCAGTGCATACTCCACCCACTCCAATGATTGGTACCCGCCCTAAGAGAAGGAAGGAAGGAAGCATTTATAAAAAAGGAATCTGGTGCCATTGCCTCTCATGTCTCTTCTTTATCTCATTACCTTGAGTGAGAGCATACATGTCGCTGACCATCTGGGTGGAGAGCTGTCGTAAGGGAGCCCCACTTAGCCCCCCCACTTCGTTGCAAGAAGCCCCACGAAGGGTCTCAGGACGGCTCACAGTAGTGTTAGTTAGCACCAGTCCATCAATGCCCAGCTGGAAAAGGAGACCAAAGGAAGAATTAGATGGTTCCCAGTTCCTTCCAATCCTTGGGGGTGAAGATGCAGCTGACCAGCAGCATGCAGATAAAACAGAGCAGAGGCTGCCTGAGTCAGGAGCTCATGAAGGGAATGACAGTCTGTCCTTGTCCTAGTGCTCAGTACCTCACTCACAATCCTGGCAATGTCCCGTTTCTCTTGGCTTGTCAGGTCTGGTGCAATCTTCACCAGCACAGCCGGTTTGTGCTTACCTGGGAGGGAATCCCGCTCAGCAAGAACCTGCCAGAAACAAAGATGAAACTGAAGCTCCAGGCTTCAGCCATCTCTTCAGTGGGCAGAACAGTACCAGCACACAGAAAGGTTCACAATAAGGTGAGATGCTCTTGGGAAGGAGAGGAGGAGGAGCTGTACTCAAACGAAGCTGCTTCCAATGCTAGGGAGACCAGATGACAGCAAAGATGGCCAGTATGGGAAACAGGCATTCACTAATAGGTGGCCTGTTCCCTAATAGGGGCCCAACGTTCTTTCTGACAGTGCTCAGTGAGTACGAGTGAGCAGCAGCTCAAAGTGTATGCCAGTCTGCTGGGCACAGAACACCCCAAGAGGGAGATTTGTAAGGAAGAGAGAAGAACCTTCAAGGCCAAGGCAGGACCCTACCTTTGTAAGTAAGAGGTGCAAGTCTGCTCTGCCTTGCAAAGCCCGCAATCCTGGCGTGTTTGGGCTGGAAACATTCACCACCACGTAATCAGCCAGCGGACCCAACACGCGAATGCCTGCAACATAGTCAGCAGCTGCATCCACAGAACACTTGTTCTTCCCCAGATTTATTCCAAGGGGCATCCCCGCTAAAAACAAAGAAAATACCATGGAGCATTAGCCCTGAAGGCAGAGGCAGCCCCTCTGTGTCCAGGAACTTAGCACCTTTGGTCTTGGATGGGGTTGTACCATGTCCCACAGACCCCGCACATAACCTGGGGTCCTTTTGGATTTACAGTTCCTGCTGGAAGAACAGGTGGCAACTATGGCCAGGAGGGTTTGCTGTATGCCAGTTACACCCTTTCCTGAATAGGGAAATAGGCTTTCTGGTCATTTATGCCCTATTGCAAAGTGCTCTACATGGCACTACCCTTGAAAACTGTTTCAACTGATGCAGAATGTGGCTGTGCCATTAGTTGTAAACATTGGCAAGATTCTTTAGCCCGGTGTGCCTTTGCCCAAAAAGGATCTGAGTGGGAAAGGTAGATTAGTATTTATTTATGCATAAACAAGGAGACACCTCTAGGGAAACAAAGTGAGAGACTCCTTAAAAAGGTAGGAAATCACCTTATACAGGTAGTCCTCGGCATACAACAGTTCACTTAGTGACCACTTACAGTGGCACTAAAAAAAGGTACTTATGGCCATTTCTCACACTTATGACCATTTCAGCATACCCACTGTCATGAGATCAAAATTCAGATGTTTGGCTACTACTGACTCATATTTATGATAGTCCCAGTGTCCTAGTGTCATGCAATCATCTTTTGTGACCTTCTTATAAGCAAAGTCAATGGGGAAGCCAGATTTACTTAACAACTGTGCTACTAACTTAATTAACTGCAGTGGTTCACTTAAACAACTATGGCAAGAAATGTCTTAAAATGGGACAAAATGCACTTAACAAATGTTTTACTTAGCAACATAAATTTCGAACTCAATTGTGGTCGAGGACTACCTGTACACAGTTCAAACATATGTGTTTGGAATGTATTCTTTTATTGGTTAGTATAATTTAGCTTGTCTGTGATCTTGTAAGCATGCTCAGTAGCTTTATATGTACCATATAACATTTCATAGCATCCTATAATACTCAGTATGATCTTGTTAATGCTCAATTTCATATTCAGGAAGCGTGTTTCCCACATTATAATCAGTTCACAAGTTACTAAAGTTCAAATCTTTGCACACATCTTGATTTTAGCAAGTCTGAATTGGTTTATATCAGAAATCACATTCTTACTTGTTACTTCAAAGAACAGAAACACTGATAAAAAGCACTCCTAGTTAATGAAAACATTACTCAAAGGGCCACTCTCCTGCTCCCATCAGTGCAATTCTGGATTCTCAAAAAAGTGCATGTAATAATTTTGCTCCACGAGCTGCATTGGGTGCTAGTTTTCTTCCAGGTCCAATTCAACTGGCATTGGTCCAATTCAAGATGTTGGTTATGATTTATAAAGCCCTATATGGCAAGGGACAAGACTACTTATGGAATAATTTTTGTCCATTATATCGGCCCATACTGGTCAACAGTGAAGTTATTTTGTAGACCTGTTAGATAAAGAAATCCAACTGGTGGGGTCTAGAAAAGCCTTCTCTGCTGTTGCCCCTGCCGGGCCTCTGGAGATGAGACAGACCTCCTCTCTCCGGGCCTTCCACAGAGTAAAAACATGGCTCTGTGGTCTTTGAATGGGGCCCTCAGAGGAGCACGCACCCAAGAGCCCTCCCTTCACCTTTTTAACTAATTTCTGGAATATTTTAATTGTCCTTGCCTCCTTTTAGTTCCAAATTTCTAAACAAACCTAGGAATAAGAAGACACTTCCTGACAGTTAGGACAAGTAATCAGTGGAACAGCTTGCCTCCAGAAGTTGTGATTGTTCCATCACTAGTGGTTTTTAAGAAAAGATTGGACAGCCATTTGTCTGAAATGGTCTAGACAGCAGTCCTCAACTTTTCCAGCTCTGTGGACCACCAGCAGCAACAGGGTGGGAAGGGTGAGGATAGACTGGCGCATGTGCCACTTGTGCAAATGCAGCTTCACCCTGTCACGCTCTGCTTGCGTAGTCTGGTTCCAATGGGCAGCACCGGACATTGGGCTGCAACCCAGGGATTGGAGGGCCCTGGTACAGAGTCTCCTGCTTTAGCAAGATTGGACTAGAAGACCTCCAAGGTCCCTTCAACTCTGTAATGCCGTTATTTTCTAAACTTTTAATTTTTAAACGCTGCTTCTATATTTCAAAATTTTGCTGTACATTGCTCAGTCCCTCCCTGAGGGAGATGAATTGTTCAAAAATGTGAGTGAACAAACAATCGGGGTAGAGGAAAACTAGCCATCCCTAGAGTGCCCCAAAGGCCACACTGCTGCCTCACCTTTGCTGAGCCGGCGCTGGGCGACTTCCCGGGCTCGGAGTCTGCGCTCCACCACGGTGTGGCCGTGACTGTTGAACCCGTACCTGTGTGGGCACAAGAGCTTCAGGGGCCTTTCCTCCGCCGCTCCCCACTACCACCCCCACCCCACACCCAGAGCGCCCACCTGTTGATGATCGCTTGGTCTTCGGGCAGCCGGAAGACCCGCGGCTTGGCGTTGCCTTCCTGGGGCTCCGGCGTAACGCTCCCCACCTCCACAAAGCCGAAGCCCATCTTGAAGAGCCCGTCCACCGCCTCCCCGTGCTTGTCAAATCCAGCGGCCAGTCCCAGCGGGTTCCGAAACCGCCGCCCAAAAGCCCGCACCTCCTAAGGGGAGTCCCGGGAGGAGAGCTCAGGCCCGGCCTTGCGGCTCCTCGCCCGCCCCCGCCCCCGCCCCCGCGTACCAAGATCTCCGAGTCGGCCGGGCCGGGCCGTGGCACGACGCCCAAGGCGAGCAGGCGCACCGCCAGCCGGTGGGCGGTCTCGGGCCCCACCACGCGCTGCAGGCCCGGCATCAGCCACCGACTGTAGAAGCTCTCGTCGCCCCTCGCCGCCAGGTGCGCGGCGAAGATCAGGCCGCCGCCCCCAAGGACCACGGCGGCCTCCTTCAGGCGCTGCGGGGAGAGAAGCGGAGCGTCAGGTCCGGCCGCAGCCGCGCGGTCCCCCGCCCTTCCCCGGGAGGGCCCCCTCGGTGCCGGGAAAGGCCTCGCTCACCCGCAGCCCTGCGGCCATGGTGGAGACTCGAGGGGAAGGGCCGCCCAGCGCTCCAACGCATGCGCGCGGGCCGAGGAAGGGTCCTGGCCGAAGCCGGCGAGCGGGAGGGAGTCCGCGAGAGGCTCCTCCTCTGGGGTTCCCAGCGGAGAGCGAGACCGGCTTCTCTTCCCGCGTCCCGGCCAAAGGTCCAGGCTCCTTCTCGGCGACGCTTCCTTTCGATGCAGGTCGGCAAGGAGAAAGTCAAGGCAGCCGATGCAAGTCAGGAGCCCCCGAGGAAGCGCAAGACTGAGCCGCTTCTGCCCCACCGCAGCGACGCTCTCCGCCCTCTGCTTTCTCGGAGACCCATTTCCTCTCTGCCCAGGGCTGCCTAACCGTTTCCGATCCAGCGTTTCGCCCGCTTTCGTTTTAGCAAAAGATGGCACTTTTTACTACCCCTTCTCTTTCTTCAGTTTTGGGCCGGTGATTCATCTTTCAATTAACAGCTACGGGTTCAAAACTTGCCCTCAAGTTTAATACACCAATAGCCGCTGCTGTCCCTTGCCTTTTCTTTTGCTGAATACTATGACAACTCTGGTAAAGATGGTCAGGCTCTTGCCCTGCAGCCATTCTGAGACACTCAGGAGTTCAAATTAAGGAAAAGTCTAGCTTTGTAAAAAGAAATACCTCCATAAGCTCCCAACCCTCTGAGTTAAAACTTCACACCCATCTACGGATCTGAGAAAGCATCATTAATGTGAATAGGATAACCAGAAAGACTAAAAAAAGGAGTCCCAAATATCATGACAAACAGATATTCTATTTCTACCATTTTTTAAAGATAGCCTCTCACAGAAAGTTAACTTCTGTGCACAGAAAGTCCAAAAATCGAACAATGCCACCTGGTGCAGGAAATGAGCTTGGTTTGTACTAATCTGGGGAATACCATACTTTTCCCCACTCAAACAGCAGGGGGAATCCATTTGGTTCCACTGTTACAGAAAAGAGACCACACCAGCTCTTTATCGAAGGGAAAGATTTATTGCGTAAGGTTCAGACTTTGCTTGAGCTATCGCTTCTGAACCTTGCACAATAAATCTTTCCCTTCGACAAAGAGCCTTTCTGAGATCTTTCTACTTTACCGCAATAACCTGGAATAAGCAACCCCCGAAAGGCTTCTTAACCATTTCAGCCTCCAGTTCAGTCTCTGTAATCTCTTGCAGTCATATTCTTTCCTTAACTTACATACAAGTTATGACAGAATACAACTGGGCAACAATGAGGATCAACCATTTTTCTGCTTGTTCCAGAGGCTGAAAGGGACCACTGGAAAATAGCATGGTCTCCTCTTGACAGTTCTCCTGCATCAGATTATACTCTCCAAGACAGACTCAGTGAAGATCACACTTTTTATTTAGAACAGAGAAGGAATCAACCATTAAACTGTCCCAGAAAAGCCATGTGAACATATTACATACAGAGGCATTACATGAGAAAGCAGAGTTTTCCTCTGGGCATCACAGCAGCAGATGTCACTATGTGGTGCTGCCATCTATGGCTTTGTCCCACATGGACTAGTTGGAGGCTGCAGACCTAAATGTCAAATGATGGTCCCATACCCAGCCTGCCAGACCCTGCTGAGGGAGTCTTTTCCAATCTCTGTGAGCCAGGTCTAAAATTGGTTTGCCTCATGGCATGTACCTGGCTCTTCTTCCCACCTCATGCATATCAGCAGGGCCCTCAGGGTAGACTTGGCTTTGGTCTCCTTTCCCAGAGAAAAGCCATAACTGCATCAAGCAAGCAGAGGCTTTAAGGCAGCCCTTCCCACGGTATATGCCCAGAAGGCAAGCAGTGTGCCCGTTCCATCAGGTTGTCTAGAGCCATCCTACTGCAGTAGCTGTGCTGTCTTCTAGCCAAAGGAAATGCTAGTCACATCACATCCATGGCCCCCTCCAGAGAAGAGATTATCTAGGGCTACTGAGGCATAGGGGGGTTTTCTTGCTTCCCCCACTGAAAGGGGCTCCAAAGGACCCTCCAAGACAGCACAATTTAGTGTAAGTAGAACAAGAAGAAAGGCCAAGAGGAAGACAAGGAAACGAGGAAAGAGCACCCATTGCAGCAACAGGGTATGTAGCTCTTAGGTTTTCTTCTTCAACTCCTCAAACCTCCGGGACAGATCATCAAAGTCAATCTCATCTGATGCAGATGTGCTGGTGCCAGCAGAAGCAGCAGGCAGTGTATCTGGCACAGACGGCAACTCTGGCAACACAAAGCGATCACCTGAACGGGGCATGGGGATTGGTGGCTGCCCCTTGGCTTCTGGTGTTACCCGGGGACCTGCAGCAGAGGGCGGATGAAGAGACATTACAAGCCTTGGGAGGCCCAAACAATGCAGAAAATGAGCTGCTGCTCCTCGGATTAACAGGGAGTAGCGGGAACAATGCCCAGACAACAGAAGACTCATTCCTACATGCCAGCAGCCTGCCTGGTGTAGCAAGCTGTTATTTTCTCTTGTATCCAAGGCTTTAACAAGAGTGCTGATGCTTTTGAGGCCTCCCAGGGCTCTGTTGCCTGGTGTGAGCTTCTACAGCTCTGGAGGAATCAAATTGCTGTCACTTCACCCCAAGCCAAGTGCAGCAGCTCAGTGTGTCTTACCAGAGTGCCAAGAAAGGCCTCGGCTGGTGCTCCCTGACCATCTCTGGACTTACCAGTCACATGTAAGGATGGCACTTCCTTGTCAGTATTCCCATCATCTACCTGAAACAGGCACAAGTGTATTTGGCAGAAGGTCCTGGCATGCAGCACACTAAATACCTTTGTTTATTTGTACAGGCTGGGAGATTTCAGAAGCATATGTTTTTCCACCTCAAGAATCAAAGCCCAAAGCTCTGCTGCTGGGTAGGACAGAAAAGCAATGGGGAGAAAGGCACAATCCCTCTCAGAAAATATTTCATCGCTATTGGAAGGGAGCAAAGCATGAAGGCAGGTAAATGTAGCAAATTAAAGGGGAAGTTCTGAAAAGCAACTATGGCACCCAAACAAGCAGAGAAGGTATCTCCCAACTAATGCTTGACCAGAGCCTTAACCCAAAATCTCAGCAGCAGAAAGGAAGAAATAGCAGCAGCAGAGGACACTAGGAATATATACAACTGTCTGATGTGAGCTGTTCCACATAAACACTAGGAAGATGGCTATGCAAAAGGGGGGGGGGGGGGAGGAACAATATGCCCTGGTTATGTCCTCCTGTCTCAGATTCTAAATTTAGTTTCTGCCAAACTGCAGCCAGTCTGAAAGTTGGGTAGAACTTGTGGAACATGACTTTTTTTTGGGGTCAGCTGTGAAATGTGTTTTTCATTTCATGCAATTTTAGAGGACTACATTTTTCTTGGGTGACACTTACAGATTCGTATGTTGGAGGAATTGCTGGAATCGGAGGAGGATGAAGGCCAGTAAATGGTTGGTAGGTACCCACGGGTAGCCCATTGAAGCTCTCCTGCAGAAATCAGAACGTTCGTTAGCGAAAGCAGATGCAGTTCATTGAGCAAGAAAGAAAAGCTGCTGCAAACTCACATGTTGGCAACAAGATAAAAGCAAAACTACCCACCTCCAGAGTCCCTGCATGAATCAAGGTTTAGTTAATTACCATCCCCTTCGGATGTGGGTAGGAGAAAGGAGGACCTGGAGATGGCATCGGCAAGACTCTTTCAGGACCAGGTAGTGGGGCCATGAAGCCACCGCTGTTACCACCACCTTTCTTGATGTCATCCACAAATCCTACATCAATCAGATCTGTTTCTACACCTGCAGGAGCCTCTGCCTGAGAAAAGAGATGGCCCAATCTCACAACAAGGAAAGATACTGCTTGCGTACAGTCACTTTTTCAGATTAGTGGCTATACAAATTGATTAAATGAAAAGAAATACAACTCAGTGACAGTGTTCGCTTCTTTGGGGTTTTTCTGAACATTTGTGTATCTTTGCTACTGAATGTTAAGAGTTTCATAAGGAGCAAAACTCATGTTTTATTTGTTTGATTCATTACCTAAGATCATCCAACATACGATATACCACTGCAAAACAGTAGCTGTCCACATGACTCAGTAATTGGTTCCCTTACCCTTAGCTGCAGTTAGTGGGACCAAGCACTTCCTTAACAGGTGACCACTTTCTCACATCACTCTGTAGGAATTCTGAATGATTTTATTTATTCCTTTATGGTGAATTGCTTCAACACAGTAATAGCTGAGCTTTTCTACCATGAACTGCCAATTTTAATCCTGCCACAATATTTCTATGGGGTTCGGATGTGGCTTTGACTTGGCCACACCAAAATATTAAGTGCATTCCTTTTCATTTGTCATCTTATAGACTTATTTCTATGGATCATTCTTGCCACGACTTAGAAAATGGCCTGTAATTCTTGCCAAGGTCAACCGCTCCGGCATACCAGATAGATGGGGCTGCCTAAAGAAGTACCCCACATGACACCTTGGGGAGATATGGATTGGACATCTGCCTTGGGACTGTGGAAGGAGGGATTTGGGGGATGCTTTCAATATGTAATTTTTGTGCCTATTGCCTCAGACTTTGCTTTTCTTTCGCTGCATTCAGTTCATATTCAGTAAAAGTACCTTTCTCTACAAACATGGAGTTGGGGTTTTTCTTTCTTGAGCTTTGAACGGAGGCAAGCCTGACAATAATCTTAAACCGTAAGATTTAATTGGAATGTATGGATTCCACCAGATGTTCTGCCCCATCTGTCCAGGGAGTGTTTTTCCAGAAACGAGGTTATTGACCAGCATTCAGATCTCCAAAAACTGTTTGGGTGTGGCTTTTATGTTGTAATCTTGGGAGGAATTTTTGAAGGATAACCACTCTTACAAAAATTGTCTTCTCCAGTTCAAGGCTGGATCAGCAAATCATAAATTGCTTGAGTCCTCATATGGTACTTCAGATATTGTTTGGAACCTTTTCCAGATTGAAGTCATTTTAAACAATTTCTTTTCAGCAAGACATGAATGTATATAGTGAAAACTTCATTGGGATGGGGTGAGCACAGGTTTTGTGATTGTTTTAGGACAAGACTACTCCAAAGCAGTCATGATTTTACTCACACAACTGGCTATGTAGCCAGTGAAAATTAAAGAAGCTAGAATCAAACCTTGGCACTATTTGTTCACTGAGACTCCATTTGTGGATTACTAATACTCAAATGAAGCTTCAAACATGAAATTAATTCATGAAAACTGAATTTTTCACTCTTTTTCACACAACTGGCAGCCAAAAGCAGACCGTTCACATCACACAAGTTAGGAAGCCTCCTGCACTTCCACTTACCATGACCACCGAATCTGGTTCATAGGGCACATTGTAGTTCTTGGCAATCTCAATCAAGTACCTCTCCACCAGGATTTTAGGAGGCGCTTCTACATTCAGTTTGTGCATTAACTAGAAGGCAGGGAGGAGGAAAAACAATTTGTTACCTCCTAGCTAAGCAGGAATCACCCACAAAATTCAAAGAAGATACTTGTTATTGCTTCTTTGTATGGATCACCAAAATTCCTACTCTGTAAAACTTGTTTTGAGATATACTTTATACAGTCATCTCATCATCAATAGCAAAGCTCTTCCCATTCTCACCCTGTCATTGACTGTTCCAATCTGGTTGCTTCGGCATAGCTTGCCATATTCCTTGCTATATTTGGCACATAGCTGATCAGCAACCTAGTACAGAAATAGCACAATTAAAAACTCATTGGCTAGCCCTAAAGTGAAGCACAGAAACACTATGGCTCTTTCCTGGTCAGAAGGCCTAAGCTTAGAGGAACTCAAGGGATTTGGAAAGAGTCATATTATTTTAACTTCAAAGGAAAGTTAAGAGAAAGCAAACTGTTTTGCTAATTAATGCCTCCAAACTGTCTTGAACCTTTCAGGAAATTGGGCAATAACCTTTCATGTAGCTGGTACTACTCACAATTTTCAACTCAGCTACTTCTGACTGTAGTCGAGGAGCTGCCCAGATGAGGGTAGACACTGCTTCTGCCAGGCCAGGGTCCAGCTCCCTGCAGAAATAACATAAAGTTATGCAATATGTAGGTCCCAAACAGTTTATATCTCATAAAGCAGGTCTTCATGTGAAAAGGTTGCCAGAACACTGCCTTTCCTCTCCCAGAAGTTTCTTTCTGCTACCCGGGCCTTACTTCATTGAATGAATGAGGCCAAAGCGAGCTAAAAGCAGGTCACAATACAACTCCAAGATCTCCATGGCCTCCACCAAATAATCTTCCCGAATGATGTGCTCCACACGGATACGAGCCCGTTCATCCTTGCCAGCAGAAAGATAGTCAGCAATTTCCTTCCTGGCTTTCTGGGCCAACTCAGCTGTAAAACAGGGAAGAGGAAAGCCATGGATTAGTCTGGCCCTAGGACCGTGATGGCGAACCTATGGCACGCGTGCCACAGGTGGCACACGGAGCCATATTGGTGGGCACACGAGCTCAGCTCCGGCCCGCTGATTTTCAGGCCTTCTGGGTCCACCAGTCGGCAAACAGGCCATTTCCAGCCTCCGGAGGGCCTCCAGGGGAGTGGGGAAGGTCGTTTTTGCCCTCCCCAGGCTCCTAGAAAGGCTCTGGAGCCTGGGGAGAGTGAAAAACGGGTCTACTGGACCCACTGTGCCATCACGTGCCAAAAACGGGGGAGCATGGGGGTGGTCGCATGCACATGTGTGTGGGGGACAGGGCGCATAGAATTATGGGTGTCGACACGTGCACGCGTGACCCCCCCCCACGTTCCCCCGGCTTTTGGCACGCGATGGCAAAAAGGTTAGCCATCACTGCCCTAGGACCTGGCGCTGGGATTCCCCTGGGCGAGAGCCCCGCTTCGCCTTCAGGGCCAAGGAGCCCGTTCCCTGGTTGGGAGGCACAAGGCGCGTCACGCCATTCCAGGGAGGAGGGAGATACTGGGACGCCGAAGGGGCGGGCGAGGCCGCTTCAGCCCTTCCCCCGCTTCGCCTCCGCTTACTTTTCTTTTTCTCCAACAACTTCAGGCGATTGATGACGAGTCGGAGATTGACGCGCAAGCGCTCAGCCTTGAACCCGGAGCCCAGCATCCCGGCCAGTCCCGCAACTGGAGGGCGAGACAGAAACCGTCCGTCAGCCGCGCCCGAGACCTGCGCCGCGCCGCCGTTTCCGGGAAGGACCCGAAGAGGCGACGCCGGTCGCTTCTGGCCTGCTTGGGCCGAGGCGCCACCCGCCGCGAACTCCTCGGGGCCCTGGGCTGGCTCCCCTCCCCGCCGGGGCTCTCCAGAGGGAACCGACCGGGACAAGACGGGCTTCGCCGACGGCGCAGGGAGAGACGTCTCACCTCCGACAGGGACACAGCACGGAAGTACGCAGCCGGACGCCGGAAGCAGCCGAAGGAGCAGGTTCCGGGCGGAAGGCGCCTCCTGCAGGGGAACGGAAGCAGGAACGCGGGAGCTCTGCGTCACCGTCCTCAGTGCCCCGGCGGCTCCCTCGCCTCCGGATGCGGGGTTCCGGCGGCGGGGACGCCTTCACACCTGCCCCGCCTGGGGCGCTGTGCTGGGCCGGCGCCCTCCAGTAGATGCAGCGGCGGGGGTGGCTGCCGGAGGCGCTCGAGCGCCGCCGGGGAGAGGCAGCGACTCCCTCCGGCTCCCTGCATTGCGCCGGTCTCCCCGCGTCCTGCCCGTGCACCTGGCGGCGGCTGCGCTGCCAACGGCCCGAAGCCGCGTCCTGCCGGCGGAGGCAGGATCCAGCGCGGCGCGCGCCCGACGGACGGCGGGTCCCCGTGCACGAGCCGAGCGCTCCCGCCGCCGCGCCGCCATCTTCTGCTGGCGCCCCGCCGGGCGGCTCTTTGTCCGCCGCTGCTGCCACGCCGCGAGCCCAGCTCGGCGACGGAGGGCGGCGGCGGCGGCGGCCGCCGCCAGGTGAGGGTCGAGCCGCGGCGGGGTCCCGAGCGGGGCGGGCGGCGGCCCCGAGCGGCGCGGCGTGACGCGGGGCTCTTCTCTCCGCAGGGGCGCCCCCGCGGGGGGGGAAGCCATGTCCCGCCGGAAACAGGCCACCCCCAATAAAGTGCGCTGTGAGTAACGGGCGGGGCTGCGGGGAGGGGGCCCGGCCCTGCCAAGCGCCCGCCTTCCGAGCCGGAGCAGCGCCCGTGGCGGGGCTGGCGGGCGGGGACGGCCGGGCAGCCCCTCCGCGTCCGCTTCCCGGGGGCCGCGGAGCCTCCGGGCTAGGAGGGCGGTCCGGGTGACGCGCCCTGGCGCTTTTGTTCGTAGGGGAGAAGGTCTTGGCCGGGCTGGAAGAGCACAAGCGGCGGGCCGCCATGAGGAAGAGCCTCCCGGGGCTGCTGGGCGTCCAGCCTGCCGTCGAGGGGCAGGAGCCGCCGTCGCCCCCGCCGGGGAGAGCCTCCAGCAGCAGTGAGTTGCCTCCGCTGTTGGGGGAAGGGACGCGCGTAGGGTTGGTCGGGGGGGGGCTGTGCTCTGCCGGCCCGCCCTCCCTTCCGAGCCACGGCTTGCGTTGCAGGTGAGAGCGAGGAGGAGACCACCCAGGACGAGGCCTCTTCTCCGGCTTCTGAGGAGGACGGAACAAGGGGGGCTGCAGTGAAAAAGGAGCAGGGGTCGGCGGAGCAGCCTGGGGAGGGCAACCCCGGGATCCAAGCCCAAGAGGCAAGTGCTCCTCCAGGTTGTGGGGAAATACTGGCCATCCAAGTCTTTTGATGGTGCAGCTTTGATGTTCCATCTTCTTAGTACCATAGGCTGCATAGTTTAGTTTTGGGACGTTTGGCTAGGCTACAAAAATATGAAGTCTGCCTTAAACTATTAGTGCAACTGGGGGAAATCAGGCTTAATAGCAGTGACTGTGAGAGGTATCTTGGAGTCTTAGTAGACAATCAGCTAAATATCAGCCAGCAGTGTGCAGCGGTAGCTAAAAAAGCCAATGCAATCCTAAATTGCATTAACAGAGGGATACAATCAAGATCAAGAGAGGTATTACTACCACTATAAAGCCCTAGTAAGACCACACCTAGAGTACTGCATCCAGTTTTGGTCACCACACTATAAAAAAGATGTTGACTCTAGAAAAAGTGCAGAGGACAGCAACCAGGATGATTAGGGGACTGGAGACTAAAACATATGAAGAACGGTTACAGGAACTGGGCATAGCTAGTCTAGTGAAGAGAAGGACCAGGGGAGACATGATAGCCGTCTTCCAATACTTGAGGGGCTGCCACAGAGAGGAGGGGGTCAAGCCGTTTTCCAAAGCACCTGAAGGCCAGACAAGGAATAATAGATGGAAACTGACCAAGGAGAGATTCAACCTAGAAATGAGGAGGAACTTTCTGACAGAACAATCAACCAATGGAACAGCTTGCCTTCGGAAGTTGTGGGAGCTTCATCACTTGAGACTTTCAAAAAAAGATTGGACTGCCATTTGTCAGAAATGGTGTAGGGTCTCCTGCTTGAGTGGGCGTGGGGGGTATTGGACTAGATGACCTATACTCTTTTAACTTGCTAGAGCCAGATGGAAAAACCCGTCAAATGAGGTTGGGAAAAAGAACACCCTGGCTTTCAAAGCTTACTTGTGAGCGGATGCCACTCGAGAATGTGCAGTTGATCACTACGAGACAGACCACAGATTAAGTGTCTTTTCTTACAATGGCCTGACTTTCCTGCGTAGACCAGCAGCAGAATTGCATGTTACGCTTATTTGAAGAGCCACCATGATCCTGCCTGTTTTTTCCATCAACCTTCTCTCTCTTATAGATGGGATTCAGCACTAACCCAGATGCCTTGATGGGACTCTCCCGCTGTCCTCTTTGTCAGCTAGAATGTGGCAGCAGGGAACAGCTTGTGACTCACGTGTACCAGGTATCTATCTGGAGGGGTGCCTGAGGCCGTTCTGCCAACTGACTGCCCCACCCTCTCTCCAGGCTTTCTCATCCTGGTTGGGAAAGATGTAGTGTTTGTGGGGTACCATTTCACCAGCCATCTTAGGGAATGCCTTGTGGGTGTCTCTCCTTCAGTCCCAAGGAAGAGGGATTTCTTCCAAGGCTTGGCTTCAGCCTGCCCTTGTAGGAACAGGGCAGTTGAGCCTTTACCTCACAGCCTGGCCTCGTTTGCAGCACACAGCGGCTGCAGTCAGTGCCAAGAGCTACCTGTGTCCTGTCTGCAGCCGAGCACTCAGCTCCCCAGGGTCGCTGGGTAGGCACCTCCTCATCCACTCTGAGGACCAGCTGTCCAACTGTGCAGTATGTGGGGCGCATTTCACCAGCCACGCCACTTTCAACAGGTGAGAAACTGCGGCAAAAGGAAGTCGGAAGTCTTATTTTGGTGGTTCTTGGCCAGTGTGACCCAGGTTGCTATAAGATATCCTAGTGGAGCCTTGGTGGAAGGTGGAAAAGCAGCTTGGCCCAGAGATCTTTTGGCTTCCCTCAGAGTTTTTCCCCAGAAGACACGCAGGCTGACTCGAGCGTTCTTCTTGCCTTCGCTGATTCTTTCTCTTTTGTAGTGAGAAGGTGCCGGAGGTGCTGTCTGGAGATTGCCTGTCTGCTCCTCCCCAAGAGGGTTCTTCTAGCACCGAAGAGAAAGCTGCTGCTCTCGGACCTGCTGTGTATCCTGCTGGCCTTCTCCTCGTGTGCAACAGCTGTGTGGCTTACCGCAAACTTTTGGAAGCTCAAGCCCCAGGGGTGCGCAAGTGGGCCTTACGGCGACAGAACGAACCTCTAGAAGCAAGACTGCAACGTCTAGAACGAGAACGTACAGCCAAGAAAAGCCGTCGGGACAATGAAACACCAGAGGAGCGAGAAGTGAGGCGCATGCGGGACAGGGAGGCTAAGCGCCTGCAACGGATGCAGGAGACAGATGAACAGCGAGCACGACGCCTGCAGAGGGATCGCGAAGCCATGCGTCTCAAACGTGCCAATGAAACCCCTGAGAAGCGGCAGGCTCGCCTCATCCGAGAACGCGAAGCAAAGCGACTCAAGCGGCGGCTAGAAAAAATGGACATGATGCTGCGTGCTCAATTTGGCCAGGACCCCTCGGCAATGGCAGCACTGGCTGCTGAGATGAACTTCTTCCCGCTCCCTGGGGGAGGCATGGAATTGGACAGCCAGTTGCTCAGCAAAATGTCCTTTGAGGAGCCAAGCCCCAGCACGCTGCCTTGAATTATTACCCTATGAGCTTTTTGGACCTGGAATGTGGCCAGCAAATTGCTTCTGCTCTATGGGTGCTACAGGTCACAATGGAAATGGTGGGTTGCAGGGAGGAGAAAATAAATTGCCTATATGTGTTCCATGCTTCGAGTCTTGTGTGCTGGTTGCATTAGTCTGAGGGAAGCCGATAGCTCATGGGAGGCTCGATTACATCTCTCCTTTTGGCTGCACACCACCAGTAGTCTTTGTAGTCTGCTCCATCTTTCACATCTATAGCATTACAGGAAAAAACACTACCTGTATAGATTTTTTTTAATCCCACCCTTGCAAAACAGAGGCAACTCAAGACAACGAGCATACTTAATATTCCTATTTTCCTCACAATCCTGTGGGTTGGGCCAAGAGAGCGACTGGCCCAAAATCATCCAACCAGTTTTTAATTTTGATACATGACAGTGGAAATTTTTTTTCCAAAGACTTCATTGCTGCGTGCCAAGTGCTACACTGCAGTTTATTTTTTTTGATGCTAGTTCCTTTATTGACAGTCAATTCTGAAAGGCACAAGTAATCCATGACGCCTCAGGATCTTCACTGGCAGTTCTAAGGCTGGCTTCTATTCCTATTACTAGATTGTCTTATTTAAGCCAATTGACTTTGATTATAGAGTTTGCAGAACATTTCCTTTTTCAGTTATTGGAGTAATATTAATGAAGCAGATGCTTGGTGTTTCTTCCTCCAGTTTTAAAACATCTTCCAATCTGACCTTCAATAAATATCCAAGCATATAGGTTGAATTAGGGAAGAGTATACAACCTTGTCTGTCTCCTTGACATGTAGCCAGTCTCTCTTCACCTTCTATCAGGAATGTGGCTTCCTGACTATAAATTTCCTGTGAAGACTAAGATGTTCTGGGATTGCCATTTTCCTAAACACACTTGTTTAACATAGCCAAAGGCCTCCCTGTAATCAATGAAGCACACCCTGATTTCTTTTTGATATTGATTCCTCAATTATTCAATATGGATTGACAATGTCTTGTTCCTCTGCCTTTTCTAATGTAAACTTGAACATCTGACATTCCCCTCTCCATTCTAATCAGTGTTAGATAATCCTAATTATTTTGTTAAATGTAAAATTAAGAATACTGTGCAACAGTTTGCACTGCCTTTATCTTTGGTGTGTAGAATGAACTCATCCAGCCTGGTGTTCACTGTAGCATTCTCCAAATTTGCTATAGTTTAATTAAAATCTACTAATTGCTCCCAATTCAAATTGTCTAATCCCTAGTAATTTAGTACTTTAGCACTAGAGGTTCTTGTAAATAGATATCTTCTCAGATGGTAATTATCCTTACCAAATAGAATTTCCTTTCACTTTTGCTTGATAGTCTTTGAATTATTACTTTTCTGTCAACTGCATCTTTAAGCAAACCAATTTGAGGTTGAAACTTTGAGGTAAGAGATCTTTTGGAAAACATTGTTTTTACATGTCTGTTTCATCTTCACCATTTTCACAGATGTGATACTACTAATCTCTTCATACAAATCTCTTGTATTCTTTCATGAACTCTCTCAGGTTCAGATTCCCTTGGCAATTTCCACTTAACAACTTTGACTTCATTATACCGTTCCTCTGGCTTCTGGGCACTAAGGTCTTCAAAACAATACCTCATGTTCTCCTTGAAAAGGGTGGATATATGAATAGTAAGCATATATTCTCCTAAAATATGACTAGATAGTCAACAATCTGGGATTTTAAGCCTTTTGGTTTTTCTTTTAGCTACAGTCTAAAAAATCCAAACGTCATGAACCAACTTCAATCTGTCAGTCTTTTAAAACAAGTGAGCTTTGCTGGCTATAAGAAAAATCCCCAAATCCATCTTACAGCAATGTCTTTATTAGGCCGTCACAGAAATATGCAAACTTTTAAGAATGTTGTTTAAAAACTCTGTTGTTTGGGGACAATCCTAAGTGCTGTCAGAACATATTACTTGCTAACAGAAAAGCAAGCTTAGAGAACTGCATAGGTTTTGATGAGCTGCTTCTGTCCATTTTGACCATATCGGCACCAATCTTCCTTTTTCACACTGAACACAGACTGTATAATCAGAAGACAGCAATAACCAGTGAATGTCTTTGGCATCCATATGTCACATTTGAAGACCAGCTGTTATTACCAATATGGGGGAAACAATGAAAAATTAGGGAAGGAGAGTTCATGATCTGTCCCTGTGCAGCACCCTGTACTCCATGAATGAATCTACTGCAAATGTTACTAACAGTCACGTTAAATTGTCAAAATGATGCTGAGTTATAGTTGGCGTTCCAGTCCTTACCTTCTGGGTAGAATTTGCTCCACAAAGTAAACAACAGAGATAGCAAGAAAAACTATTGGCATATAATTAGGTACATGTGTGTATGAGTGCACATACATATATATGTGTGTGTGTGTGTGTATGCCATTTATAGCCAAGTTAAATGGAGCAAATTTGAAGAGCTTAACAATAAAAATACAGCCTGCGTTTACAGCAATATTAAATCATAAAAACAGGAAAAAGGCTCTCACCCCAAATACATATATACAGTACATGTGGATTTATTTAAAACAGATACAAAAAAAGCACAATAAAATAGATTATCCTCCTTAGACTGTAATGTGGCATTAAAGATCAGGGAGGAGAAAAGCAGTTGGGGGTTTGGCTAGTCCTAAGGCGTTTGCCAGTATATCGCTGGCTAGAGAGTAAAAATAATGATTGGTTGTAGGGCTGCAACATGTACAACTCTGGTGACATCCAGCATCCAGTCCTCGTCAGCTAAGGTGCTATCTATGGAAAAGGACCCGGGGAGGAAGAGGGACCATCAGAGAAGTTTCTTTTGGGCCTGCCCTGGCCCCATCATGATTGATAGCAAAAGGCTTTCCCTTTCATGAGCCCTTCAGGGAGCTCTCCTTTGAGGCTAAGGTGCCCTTGAAGAAAGGGGCAACTGAAGCAGCTTCCAAGAAGAAAGGGCATCTGACAAATGCCGTCTCAGAGATGAATTGTTCTTAGGGTTCATGGGCAACAGGACAGCCAGGAAGATGCCAATCCCACAGTATTGGGTATTAGGAAGCCACCCCTGCAATTGCTAGAATTGGGCACAACTTTCTGTAGTGTCACATGAGAGAAATAGCTTATTGCTCTAAGTAGCTGGCTCTCTCAAGTCTCTGTGGGCTTCACAGAGCAATGACTAAACACATGCCTGCAACTTATAACTGTCTTGTCAACTCGGAGACATGCCTCTGAAAACAGGAGGGTGAGCAGTCTGCCATATAGACACAAACAAAACTTTGGACCCACATGGCTGAGCTGTCCAAAATTGAGGGGCTAAGTTTCAACAACTATGGACAACTTGCATTGCAACCTGGAGACAGCTACCCATTTTGAGAGAAAGGATTAAACTTGTTTGCAGCCATGAAATTACTGCCCCTTTATCTGGCATCAGACAGAGGAGCACAGAGATTAGTCAGGAGGCACACGAAGGAAGTTCAGGGGACCCTGAGAGGAAGTTAAGAAAGGCAGATATGTTGGACAAAAGGTGGCTAGGAATAGTGCAAAGTGCCAGGGCCTTTGGGACAAAACAGCAAAGAACCCGGCAGAGAAAGCAAGGTCACCTTTCATCTAGAGTTAGGGATGGGCTGATGTAGAAACTCAGCACTCTGACCTAGCAGAATTGCCAAGCAGTGGAATTGAAGCCACACTGGATCAGAGAACATCCATGAGAAATAAGCCAAGGTATCCATTTAGAATTATTAGTAGTAGTGGTTGTAACAGCTGTTTTGGAGGGAGATTTTGTCATTACACCAAACTAGGCAACGTAGTAAACCTCTGGCTAGAGCTAAGAGCACAGTAACAAGACAGGAAGATGCTCAGCATGGCACCATGAAATGAAGCAATTCTGCATCATTTTCAGTGCAACAGACTTAAAACTGTCAGCCACTTGCAATTTTTACTTACTATTTGCTAAAATACAAGTCTTATGATGTCTACTACCCCTTTTTAGTCTCTGTTGAAGTCGGCAATTGATAAAGGGCACTTTCCTCAACCATAGCCTTTGTATGCCTGCAAAAGCAACAGCTATACAGTTGAACACTGGCTCAGCAATGGATGTTTGAGAAAGTACTGGCAGCCAAAGCAGAAACGGAATGCAGCTTTCATGGAAGAACAGTATTCGTTAGGCAGGGATGTTATAGCAGAAGTCAGCAAACTAAGGGGTCTGCCAATAAGCACAAATCCTTGTTCTGCTTCTATCTACTTCCCCTATTAAAAAAAGGCCATAGCTCTACGTGGCAAGTTACAAAACTATGCACTGGGTAGCAGATTTGCTGAACGGGATTGCTAGATGCTTCTTCTCAATACAATAAGATATACAAATATCTCCCTGAGGAGATGCGGAGACTCCCAAATTGGACTACTGCAGTGCCCAGACCAATTAGTCAAAATATCTTGACCAAGACCTGAGCAGAAGACTGGACAATTCCCTTAGCCCCCCCCAGTGACTGACTCTCTCTCTCTCTTGCTGAAAGCATCTTGCTACCTATGAGCAAGTGTCCAATAAAGTGCTTGCGTCTTAAGGGACCTGGTGATCCCTCTCTTCATCTCACCTTGCAGAAAGCAGGGGAAGATGGGAAGAAGTTCTGCCGGTAGAATGGTTTAGGCACACAGCTGGAGGAGCTGGACATCTCTTGGTTGTCAAGAGAAACTGATTAGTGGCCAGACTATCCAGCATGGCACTGATACACCCACCATCAGAATTCACTTCCCTGCATTTGAACGACCCTCTATGGACAACTTGACTTCCTGGGGAATAAATGACGGGCGAAGCAGGGATAAACGAGGCTCCTCCACTAATTTTTGAAAACTGGGACCTGCCCAGCCATATACAGAAATGGGTTCCAGATAGGGGGGTTCCTGGGATAAGCCTAACACTCCTACTCTTCTCTGTAATGGAGTCTTCTCCCTCACTTGATCTTGTGACTCCCGAAGGATTAGTCCACTCTGCTCAGGCTTCTCTTGGATAGTGCCCTGAGAACTACTTTGTGGAACCAACTTCCCATTCAGGCTTTGTAAACTGATGGAAATACAAACATCTCCCACCTGAAGCTTATGACAAGGGAGGGAGAAAAACCGAGCAGTCCTCTCTGGGCTGCATGATGACCAGCCTTGACCATACACAAAGAAAGGGTGCTCAGGGGGGACATCAATGGTCACTTTGCTCTGCTGTTCTCCAACTACAAAATGTAGCATTACAAAGCCCTGCCAGGGGCTTTCCTGAATGTCCACCACTGTGCTGGAATCGATCTTGAGGCCGCCACTCACCTCTGCACTGCGCACAAAGTCTTGGGTTTGAAGATCCTCGACTCGCTTGAGCTCTCCAGTAGCCAACTGAATTATAGCTCCTTTCATGAAGTGGGAGGGCAGGTGGCCCTGGGAGTGGGCAAAAGCTGCTTCCGGCTGCATCTCTTGGGGTGGTACATCAGGGCTCACTCTTTCCAGGCCTTCCTGAACTGTAGGCTGAAGGGGTCCTAAGACTAGTTTGCCATTGACCAGAGTCAACCTTTTGAGAGTTTGCCTAGAGCAGAGTTGCTTCTCGGGAGACTTCGCAGAGAGTCTTTGCAAATGGCTCTTCTCAGCAGTAACTTGTACCGCGTTTCTCCCTGACTCCTCTTTCTTCTCTGCAGCATTACGATGAGACAGGTTAAGGGGGCTGAAGTTATCCTTCTGCTGAGCAGAACAAATAGGATATTCCGAGAGAACTCCCACTACCCTCTGCACTTCTAGGTCTGGGGTACTTGGCTGAGATGGCACTGATACCTCCATTCTCAAGACCGGAGTACTTCCACTGTACTCTTCAACAGTCCTTGGCCACTGCCCTTCAGCTTCACTCTCCTTTGCCCCCACAGCAGACCTTTGTGGCCCATTCATTGTGAATCTTTTGAGATCAAGCTGCTTCTCCTGCAAAGATTGGTCTGAGTTCAGACCAACGGCAGCCTCAAATGTCGAGTAACCTGCTGGCACACGGGACATCTGGTAATAAATTGGAATCTGACCGTGCGAAATGTCCAGAAAGTGGCCTCCGATATGAGGCTGCAAAGGGCCAGAGGGTGAAACAGAGGCAGAAGGTTTGCCAAAAGTGTGGGTCGCCTGTGTAGGACAGGACTCACTGGCCAGGAGATTTGGTGCGTAGGGCACAAAGTGAGGGACATGAGAGGTGGTGAGACCAGCTGAAGGAGACAGCAAGTGGCTGGGGAGGAAGCCATGAGGCACAGTATAGGGCAGTGAGTAATGTGACCCCACAAACTGCAAAGGGCTGGCAGGGAGCTGCGTGTAATGGATGGGTGGATAGGGGACTGAGGGATGCTGCTGCTGCTGCTGTTGGTGCAGCAGCTGCGAGGTCAGGCCGTAAGCAGCAGGCAGCGGACTCACGTTCACCACGGGGGCGAAGGTGGTCGGGGGCGCGGCCACCTTGTACAAGCCGTACTGGTCCACGGTCAAGCTGCCCAGAGTTTCCCTGGGGTGGTCGCCGTCGCCGGGGTGGTCGCCGTCCCCGGGCTCGGTGTAACGCGAAGGCGCGCGGCTCGGTCTGCCCGCCGCTGCCTGAGGCCGCTCCGACAAGGCCTCCCCCGCCGGATCGCGCTCGGCCAACCTGGCCGGCTCGTCGCCGTCGCCCCCGCTGGCGGACGGCGGCAGCTCTCGCTTCTTGGGCGGGAGGCGGCCCTGGCCGCGTTCCTGGACCGCCCGCATGGCGCTCGCCGGCGGAAGGGGGGCCTCACCTGCGGAGGCAAAGAAACCAGCAGCGTTAGAGGCTCGGAGGGCGGGAGGGCGGACACCCGGCGATCTTTGGCTTACCTGCCGCCTGGGCGGCCTCCTACCGCACTTCTGCCGCCGCCGCCTCGCCCGGGCTCCATCCCGTTGCCGACCCGGCCCCGCCCTCCGCTCTCTCGGCGCGCCGGAAATGCTTCGGATGTGATGCCAGCGAGGCGCGAGGGGGCGCGCTGAGATGACATCATTCCCCAGCCGGCGGTCGCCGTAGCAACTCTACAGGAAGCAGGTGGGACGTGACGCCACTGCCGCGCGCTAGAATCTCTCTCGCCGGGGCCGTTTTCCTTCGAGTAGCCGGCGAGCCGCTCCGGTTCCCCACGCGAATGAACCCGGCTCTCATGGCTTAGTTCCGCTCTTAAGCTGACCTTTTCGTAACAGACTCGCGCCGTCTAAGGTCGCTGTGAGCGCTCCCACCGCCCCCCACCCCCATCCCGGCGAAGGGCAGCTCCGGACAAACCTTCTGGGCCAGCGGTAGACACGCTCAGCCGCTGCCGGCCTCGAAGCTCGTTTGGTCTTTTTCCCGTCCCCGCGGCACCTTGCCCGGGACAGAGCGTTCGGACCGGGATTTTCCGCGCCTTCTCCAGCGGGTTGGAGGCTGTCGCTCGACGCCCGAACTTTTAACCGTAACGCCGTTGCCCCCCTCCTCCCCGAGGGGCAGAGGGACCTGTTCCGGAGGGCAGGGCCATCCGCGACGCCTCTTCACACTAGTGCAGCTCCCATTCTTCCCGCTTCACAGGCGCCTAGGAAGAGATGTGCCCTCGGACGGAACCTTCATACTCGTCAGCGAGTTCCAGCCGGGCGGTTATGGCCGGCGCGACAGCCGCGGTGACTCGGCAGGCGTCTGACGTCATCAGTGCTTGCCGTGGAGCTCTCTTCGTGTTCCCCACCTCGGACGCCTCCGCTTGAGAAACGAGTCCTGCGGGCGGGTGCTGCAGTCGCGCGCGCAGCGAGAGTTGCCGGGGCTCCGAAAAAGGGTCATCCCGGGGGCCGCCCGCCGAACAGTCTTAGCGAGTAACCGCCGCGTCCAGACGGAGATAAGCCAGCAAGTGCCGGCCGCAGAATTCCTCCGCCTGCGGTATCGGTGCTTTGGTTCCGCCGTCGCCATTTTGGATGCCAGGCTCTTGCCGCTGTCGCCGCCATCGCTGTAGGGACCCGGCCCGGTGAGTGTGCGCTCGGAGAAAGGCGGGGGGCTGGGCCGGAGCGCTCCCCCCCAAGGCGGAGGTGCGTCTCGAGTCCCCTTTCGCGGCTGCCCCAGCTTTTCCCGGCGGCTTGGCCTGGCGCTTTTCCGCACGGGAGGCGAGGGCCCCGGCTCGGCTCAGCCCCGATATCGTCTCCGGCCGTCGTGCCCCGGAGAGCCGGCCTGGCCCCGAGGACGCAGCCCAGACCCACCTTCGCTCTCTCGCTCGGGGAAACCTGGAACGACGGCGTTGCCGGGCGGCTCTCCTCCAGAATAGTCCGATAGCTATGAGGCCATCAGCGACTTCCGACATTGGGACAGGCCCCGGGAATTGTTCTCCGCGGAGAAACAGTTTGTGTTCTTTTTGATCGTGTTCTCCTGAGTGGCCGTTTTGCAAGTTAGAGTTCTGAGTGTTCTGGCTTTTTCCCGTTAGTCAAAGTGGTTCAGCCTTCTGATTGCCGTCTTCCAGCTCATTCCTTTTTTCAAGATCTGCATGTAGCATTTCAGAGCAGTTGATTAGCTACGAACCTGAAAAGCTAAGACCCCCAAAGAAGGGAAGGGGTCCCTTCCAAAACTTTGAAGATAAAAGGAAGCAAACCGGGAAATTGAGAGGTTAAATATTACGTAGGATTACCCTATTAACCATGGGTAAATACGTGCCATGCTTTTGGTTAGCAGGTCTGTTGATGTTGCTATGTGGGAGCATCTTGTAACAAAACTTAAAATTTTATTTGCAATACTGGATATTGTGATTTGACTATTAAGATTGTTCTTGGGCTCAGATATCTATGGTTTAAACATTCTCTTGCATTCATGGCTCCTGTTAAAGTAACAGCTCAGGCCTATGGCTGGCTGAGCTTTTGCCTACCTTCAGCTGGTACCCCCAGTTGCAATTTTTGGGGACAGCAGTAATTTCCTCATATCATTTTGTGTTTTTATTACCACAACACACTCTACATGAGGCCACCTTTGATGATAATTCAAGAATTGAATTAGTCAGAATGCAGCACCATAGGTGATATAGTATAATCTGAAGCTTCCAGAACCAATTGAAAGTACTGATCTTAACCTATAAGGCCTGGGCTCCTAGGTACTCTCCTCCAGTTCGAATCAACCCATCCTGTGCACTCATGTCCAGACCCCCCCATAGGAAGGTAAAGTATTGGGAGGGGGGCAGAGACAGTTCTTAGTTGTGGCCCCAATATAATGGAACAGCCTGCACCCTCAGGTACATTTGTCCTGCAGCCATGAAGAAAATGTGTGCTACTGAGCAAATTCTTGCTTTCATCTCTCCTCCTATACCAGCACCCCCCAACCTTTTTGGCACCAGGGACCAGTTCTGTGGAAAGAGGTTTTTCCGCAGACTGGGAGGTGGTTTCGCTTACTGCTTGCATCCCATGGATGGGGCATCGCTTGTTTGCGCGGACCAGTTTCTGGCATCCCACGGACCAGTGCCTGTCCACAAGCTAGGGGTTGGAGACCCTGTTCTATACAATTGTCTATAGTAGATCATTTTAATTTGTTCCTTCACACACCTTTATGTTACAGTGTTTAGTTTGCTTTCTTCTCTGACTCAATCTTAAATGTAATACAATATAATAAATCCTAAAGTAACTTCTAAATTTCCATGTTGTGGAGGGAAAAGCTCCTAGGAATGTGTATGATATTTTTCAGGAGCAAAAAGGGAAGTTTGTCATAAGCAAACTCCTCTGAAAAGAATTTGTATCTGGAAAATTTGCCTGTGTCTATGAAAATGGATCTTGTAAAATACTATCTGGGTTAGTTCATCACAGTACATGTGATAAAAATCATGGTTTTTATCTATGGTTTAGTGAATACTGTATATAGCATGCTACAACACCAAATAAATCATAGCATAACTTAGAACATTGTTTGAAGCCTCCTGGTGACTGATTTTGTATCCTGTTTTTCTTTTGTGAGCTCAGGGTGGTATATGTGGGAGTCTCCTTTTAATCTTTCCCCCAAGTGACCATCTTGTGAGGTTGATTAGGCTGGAAGAGTAACAGGACCAACAACAATGAATGCAATCCATGGTTGAATTACAGAACTTTAACCTGGGCCCCCCCAGATTATATATTAACCATTAGATTCCCCTGACTTTCAGTGTGAATAATTTAGGTTAATGCAAATGATTAAATCACAGCCATAGAAGCTATATTTTAGGGCGATGCATGAATCCAACCCTAATATTACATATTTGTATATAGGATTCCCATTACATCTTATAGAAGCATTACTGAAAGTTCACCAAGTACACCTTGGTGTACCTTAAGTAATGCTGCTTCTGCTGAATGGCTCCCTAAGTCACACACTGGATCCAATAATGAAAATAATTGGAAGACTGCTAATACAGATGTTTTTGAATAATCTTTTTTGACTTTGGTTAGCAGAGCTCCATCCACGAGCAATGGGGAATACATCTTAGATTTGTCATCTTAGATTTAAGATTTTGGAAGAGCTAGTCCTAACTCTAAATAAAACTTGCTTCTGGTAGCTGGGGGAGGGACTGGTTGATAATTAACAAAGTTTTTGGATACCATATCCGTCTTTTGACTTATTACACTGAAAAACAGAGTGATAAGTTTGCTCTGATGATGTGAAGTGATTGCAGAGAGTGTTGAGAGAACGCAGGTATATGTAAAGAAGCATGCTTGGAGAACATGAAGTAAACAAGTGAAACTGAGTAAATTATACTTGTATTGATGTTCTTTTAGATTTTAGGCAATACTTCTGTCATTCTGCAGTTTGGTTGGCATTGATCTAGAGAAATTGCTAGAGAAATCACATATAATTTGTAAAAACCACAGAGGGAATAGCCATCCCAAAGGTGCTGCATGGTTTGTTAAGCAAGAACCTCACATGGCCTTGACTTTGGACTTCCTGCCAGCTTCCTAACTGACTTTGATTTTGAGAAGCTAGCAGGGAATATCAGAAATCAAGTTAATTCTAGGGGGTATTCTTTGTTAGTAGTAGGAGTGTTGTTATTTCCACACATCCATGGGTTACACTCTATAGAATAGTCTGAGACTGCTGGCTTAGGATGGCAGCCCTGAATTAACCATAAGAAATACTGGAAATGGAGACAAGATTACCAAAGAGATTGTTACTTGGGAAATTCTGCAACGGTCATATGTCTGCAGCCATTGATTTAATCTATTTTCCATTTATTAGAGGATGCCAGCCCCCATCAGACTCCGGGAGTTGATCCGGACCATCCGGACTGCACGCACACAGGCAGAAGAAAGAGAGATGATTCAGAAAGAATGTGCTGCTATCCGATCATCCTTTCGAGAAGAGGACAACACATACCGCTGCCGGAATGTAGCTAAATTGCTGTACATGCACATGTTGGGCTATCCTGCCCACTTTGGACAGGTGAGCCACCTTCTTTTGAAATGTTAAACAGGCGAGCACTCACAGATCCTTGAAATTTAGACCCTGGACATGCAGCATTCACATTTGATGGGCAGCCGAGCGCCTTACAGTTTTTACCCTTTTGAGTGTGGGAGAAAACTTCTGGAAACTCCTGCAGGAGTAGGATACTAGAGAGGAAGAGGTTCTCAGTTTCCATTGATGGCCAAAAAATATTTCTCCACATTATATGGTGGCATAGATTTTGTTTCATGGCAGCCCTTGTTACTTCAGAAAAATAGGAGAATGGGATTATTCAGGCAAAAGGCCCTTCCCCAGGTTGGTGTTTTCCAAATAAGACTTCAGGTATTAAGTCAGCTTTGATCTGACTTAGAACAAATAGGTCATCTCTCCTGCCCCCAGATTTGACATGATGTACCTTTACCTTTACACAGCCTTGAATTTTTGGGTGGGGATCACTTTGGCCATGCAAAGATCTTTCTGTAATAAAATTGCTAAAGTAAACGGGCTTCTACTGTCCCCCTTGCAGCTGGAGTGCCTAAAGCTAATTGCCTCTCAGAAATTCACAGACAAGCGCATTGGATATCTTGGAGCCATGTTACTCCTGGATGAGAGGCAGGATGTTCATCTCCTCATGACCAATTGCATCAAAAAGT